CAGCCGCCTGGAAGGTAGGCAAATTGCGGTACTTTCCCCCTGTAAGTAGGCAAAAAGCATGGCCCGACCCCCCCCTTTCAAAATTTCTGCGCACGCCACTGCTCTGGAGGTCGAAACGCGTCTTTGGCCGCCTCCACCGGTCTTCTGGCCCACTGTGCGACGTGGCGTACAGCGTGGCCGCGAGAACCTCACACCGAGCAGCTCGGTTCCAATGGCACTGCCACGTCGCTCTGGGTTGAACCCAGACCGCTCGCGTACTCGGTGCAATGTTCAAAGCAATATGCGACCCGCGGCTCATGAGCACTCGCGACTCATGACGGGGCGAGGCTGAAGGCTGCCGGCAGATTTCGAAGAGTCGCTCTCGTCGCTCTGTCTCTCTCGCACTGCTGGGGCGTCCCTTTGGCACGCGAGAGAGACAGAGCGACGGAATGACTCCACTGGGGACTGCGTGTGCGTCACGTGCCAGAACGCCAGCCCAGGGGGTTTTGTTTTCAGTCCCTGTCTCGCTCAACATGAGGGAGCCCCTCTGAAACGGACAACACGCGCCACTCTTTTGAAATGAAACCCGACACGGCCAAAATGGGAATCATTGCAATCAATTACAAATTCGCATTGCTGTCACGAAAGCCACTGGCTTTCATTCCGTTTTCAAAGACGAGAGACTTTTGTGTTTTTTTTTTTTTTTGTTTTCAATGCAAGCGGGTCTTGGCAGTATACTTCTTTTTCCGTCACTCCGCGCCGTGTTTCGGCTCCCTAGTGCTGCATTCCCTAATCCCCCCTCCCCCCCCTGCCCCAATCGCGGCCCCCAGCGGCCCCGCGTCCAGCCATCACCGGGCACCAAACTTGTGGAAAACCCAATTAATTGCTTTCCGTTTCCACAAAGTGGGAGGGGGGGGCGGAGCGGGGAGGGACGGAGTGAAAGAGCGCGCTCTCTTCCTGCTGTCCAGTGTATCAGCTTTGGCACGGCACTGCGGTCATCCGCCCCCCTCCCCTTCCCCGATCCACCGACTTGGCGTCAGCCTCGTCCACCCGTTATGGTCCAGTAAAGACTCCTCGAAGACTCCCGGCCCGGGCAGGTCTTGACCGACCCGGGCGGAAGGGAGGGGTGGGGGAGGAGATCTCGCCGCGCGCCACCACGGCCTCCGCCACTCCAAGTTGTCGGGAGCGGTGATTTCGAATCTCGAATTTGGAACCCCGGTTGGGTTGGTTTGCCCAGGCCCGCTTCGCTGGCTTCACTGGCTTCGCTTTGCCGCCTCCGCGCCGAGCGCCTGCACTGTAGGCAGCCGGCGGCGGGGCGACACGCCGCTGCTCGCCGGGCTGGCCTACCCTGGACTCCGCGGGCGCCAGGCTTGACGCCGCCGCGCCGCCGCACTGTCGCTGTCTCTCTCTGGCGTTCCCTGTCGGTGCGAGAGAGACAGCGCACCGGGGGTGGACGGCGCAGGAGTCAAAATGGATGCCAACGCAGTGACCTGCGGAGTGTTACCCTGCCGTGCGCTCGCGCCATGCTCGCGCCGCACCGCGCTCCCTCGCACGCCTCGCCCTCCACGGACTTATTGCACTTTGTAATTCTTTTAATGTCTTATTGCTGCTCCCCAAGGCTGCTAAGCAAGTTAGAGCAAACCAGGAGCAGCAGCCTCCGCTCCCCCCACCTACCCCCCCACCTACCCCCACCCCGGCCGGCCCCGAGGGCCATTACTGGTTCAAAAGCAAAGTGGACCCAGGTTACAAGGAGAAGAAGTAGTTATGGAGGCATTTGTTTGCGACTGCGTGGATGGGGAGGATCTCGTGGGGCTGCGCGATGGTCGACCGGCCTCGCCGTCGTCCGTGCCTCCATGGCCTCCACGGCCTCGCCGGCCACACCATCCCAGTGCCTAGGCCACTGCCAAGCACGAAGTACGAACGACGCTGCGTTTCTTTGCCACGCAAAACCGCGGGAATTTCGGTTTTAATCCAACGACGCGCCGCGGTGGCGTTTCTTTTAAATTGGCCGCAGCTCATGTTTTTGTTGTTTTTGTTGTTGTTGCTTTTGTTCGGCCCGCACTTCCCTTACCGTGGTCAAGGTGGCCTTGGCGGGGGTGGGGGCCGGCCTTGGGGGGGGGGGGCACTTCGCACGACCATTCATTCCTCGCGCTTCTTGCTGGTCCAGTAGTCTTTAGCATTCAAATGGGAGCATTTGTATGCATAGCCTGTAAGGAGCGGACCCACGCGCCCCGCCGCACCCCGCCGCACCCCGCCACGCCCCGCCAAGCGCGTGCGCGGTCCGGGGCGGGAACCAGGAACCATAACCAACCTGAGCACAGTTCCGCCGTAACATGCCGAGGGGGCAATGTTGCGCTGCCCCAATGGCGCCATCCTTGACCGGCGCGGGTTCAAACACCAACACCGTCTTATTTTTATTTTTAAAATTTTCATTGGCATAGTTTTCAGGCAGGAGGTTCAGCGCGGGGGGTCAGATCGGTCAATGTTCTGCAGTTTGGACCAGCCTCCACTGGCGTGGGTTCAAATACCGACGCCTCAAACCTTTTTTTTTCTCCTCCTTTCTAAGAAAGTGTAATTGGAGCGTAGTTCGCTCGGCCGGCGTCTGGGAAGCTTACGCGGCGCTGCGCCGTTCCGGCCCGTTGCCTTTTATGCGCGGGACGCGATTGAGACTCGACGCGATTCGCGCCATTCAATGGCAGAACAGCCGCCCGTTTCGTCGCTCTGTCTCTCTCGCACCCACGGGGCTCCCCGTGTGGGAGCGAGCGAGACAGACAGAGGCGTGTTTCCCTCCGGTGCGGGAAATTCGGGGAAGTTGCTTGTCCGGTTGGGCGGCGAATACTCAAGACTCATCGGACCGGCCAGGCCTCGCCCGGCTAGACTCCGAGCCCGGCTGTCCACACGTCTGACATCCCCCCCCCCTCTCTCCTTTTTTATTTCCACCCCCTTTTTTTCTTCCCCTCCTTCCCTCGCTGCTGCTGCCAGTCCGTGGGTCTGTCCGTTCGCTCTAGTGATTAGCGAGCTTTTCCCACCGGGGAACGGACCTTAAATTGCGTGTCCGGTCCGCTCTGCCGGGGCCGGGGCCGAGCAAGAGGCCAAAGCTTGGCCGAGGCCGGGGCCGGGGCCGGGCGGGCCGGTGGTCGAGGCCCGCGCTACTCCTGCTGCCCCGGCCGCCGTGACCTGCCAGTGCTGCCAGCCAGTGCCAGCAGACCGATTCCGAGAGTCGTTCTCGTCGCTCTGCCTCTCTCTCACTCATGGGACGTCCCTGCGAGAGAGACAGAGCGACGAAAACGACTCTCGGAATCAGTCTGCAGGGCGGCGGGACGCAGGGCGGGACGCAGGGCGGGACGCTGGGGGCGAGTGGAGTTTCACGCGCTGGCCGAGGCCGAGCAGGCCGAGCCGAGCAAGGCCGAGCCGAACCCAAGCAGCCCCTTATCTTTGGCTCTCGCCCCAGCCTATCAGCCCCGGCCTCGGCCCCGACCCCCACCCACAAGACAAGCGTCGATGACAGGGCCGCCGAGGCTCTCGAACCGCTTTCGAGAAACCGAGATCCGTTTTTTGGCGGTTTTCGGCGCCGGCCCCATTGTCCGTCCGTGCATTGTCATAAGCCTCGGCGCGATGGGGGGGCAGCCAGGCAGGGCCGGGCAGGCCGCGCAGCCACAGCACGGTGTCGGGTTCGGCCGACCGGGCCCGATGCCTGTAAGGAGAGCCCGCCCCTTCGTCTTGGCTAGTCTCGCCTCGCCCTCCACTATTCGCCAGACACTGCTCATCTTCCCCGGCCGTGTCATCTCCTCGGTTGCCGTTTACCAGCCTCCAGCGCGGGGAAGTCCAGGCCAAATTTTGGGCTTGGGACGGTCACAATACGTCGTCTCCTGGCAGCAGAGGCATTTATGAAGCAAGTGCAAAAAGAATTCCCCCTTTTTTTTTACTTTACGTTTTGGAACGCCTATCAAAGCAACTAGGAGTGAATGTGTATCAAACAGTGCACCCCAACTGCGCCCCAGTGTCGAGCCGAGCCGAGCCGAGCCGAGCCGAGCCGATCGCTCGTCGTCCAAGTCACATACTGCACCTGCCATCAAAGTTCAATAAATCGCGTCGCCGCTACTGCCTTGGCGGCTGGGCCGAGGCTGGGCCGAGGCTCGGCCGTCGGGCTCCGGCCTAACAGCCTGACACAACCCCTCTGTGCTCCGGGCATTGTCGACGTGCTCGGCCAAGCTGCCCGGCCGAAGCATCGTTTGTCTCTCTCGCGCTCACGGGGCTACACGGGGCGCCCCCATGAGAGCGAGAGAGACAGAGCGACAAAGTGTTCCTTCGGCATCAGGCGGCAGGCCAAGCCCAGGGCCAGCCGGCCTGCGTGCGATCGTGCCCCGTATCCCCGGCCCGGCTTGGCGTGGCCAAGTCGTAACCCCTCACCGGGACGGGGAGAGAGGGGGGGGGGGGAGAACCACAGGGGACTGTCGGGAGTGTGTGCGCGAGAAAGGGAAGGCAATGATAATAGTAAAGAAAGAAGAGAAATGGGACGCGGGCGGTGGAAAAGAGGGCGGAGGGGAGAATAGGTCAATCATGTGACCATTGAGGCTGCGTTCACAGCGTTCGGGCGGACCTATCCGAGTGGAAAAGGAGATAACGCACTCCTCCTCCTTCTTCCTCATCTTTTCTTTCTCTATTTTCGTCTTGGTTATTTTCTCTTCTTTCTCTCGCATTCCGCTGGCTAGTGGGCCGGTAGGCTAGTGGTTGGTTGCGGAGCCACGTTGTGAACATGAAGATGCGTGCCTTGAGAAACTATACAAACAATCCGTAATTTGGACATTTTATAAAATTATTTTTAATGTATTTGGAAAAATTTCACGTGTTTCCTAACCGGTTTTCTTTTTCTTTCTTTTCATTTCCATATTTAAAGCGGTATGTGGTATTTTACCCGACGGTTTTGTATTAAGGTTGTGGTTTTGGTGTGGCTTTCCCTGCAATGGCTGTGGATATACCCCGCGCATAACGAGACGGGGGCACAAGGGGTATTGCCGATCGTCAGCTGTCTGTTGTCTTGTCCGTCTGTCGTCTGCTGCTGCTGTAGCAGTAGGCTGCTTGGCGTGGCGCGGCATGTCCTGTAGGTTAGATCTCCCAGTAAACATTCCGTTGCACTAATCACCGGGCGATAGATTTGATTCGGAACATACCTCCTTCAAGGTGAGTTCATCCTATCCAAGTAATGGAGATAAGTAAATGTCTTTTTGTTGGACGTCGGTTGCTAAACGTACGTTAAACATGAAGAAACATAACCTACAGTGTCTGTTGTAGCATGTGAAATATCAGTGTTATCATAGCCATTTCTTTGAAGTACCCTGTCGTTTGTATTTCAGATACCATTATGAGTTCCAAGAGGGGAGAAACCACTCGAAAACGTCCCCAGAAGTATCAAAATACGAGGGCCTACAAGAACGATTTGCACGACAAGACACCTCAAACAAAATTCATAAATAGTATTCAAATTAGTAATGTTTGTGAGCGATGCAAAGGTATTCTGGAGTGGAAGATTAAGTACAAGAAATTTAAACCTATGAAATTCCCATCTACTTGTGTGAAGTGCTTAGAAAAATGTGTGAAACATGCATACCACACTATGTGCTCACCTTGCGCCAATAAGCTTGGTGTGTGTCCTAAGTGTGGTAAAGCGGAGGAACTAGTTCAACCAGTTCCAACTGCTGAGGAGCGTTTGAAATTAGATCTCGAGATGCAAGCTATGCTTAAGAGCCTCCCCGAACGTAAACGGAGGACGTTTTTAAGATTTCTTGAGAAAGGCAAAAAGAAAGCTCGGAAAGATCGAAAGAAATCAGAAGGTAATATCACCCTTATCTTGTATTCTTTTCAGTATTTCAATGTTCTTATTTTTGTTTTATATTAATTAGTGTATTGTTTCAATTTTTTTGTTTCTAGATGATGCCAATGCTAAGTCTGATGAACAAGATACTTTGCCGAGAGAAGATGGTGAAGAGGATGATACCAAGAAAACAACGCATGATCTTATGGCATTTTTGCAACGTTTGAAACTGTCTTGCAAGGATGGAGATGACATGGATGACTTCGATGATTTTGGAGATTCTGATGATAGTTTTGAAGACAGTGAAAATGAGGAGGATGGAGATGGAGATGATGATGAAGATGACAGTGATGATGATGATGATGAAATAGAGGGTAAAGGTGGTGTAACTAAAAAGTAAACCACATTTTTTAAGGTGTTTATATGTAATATATTTTCTTCAGTAAAAAGTTGAAGCTGTTTCATTTCGATACTGTGGTATGAGATTGGCCTCTGTTGAAAAAGACATAACCATTTTCAGAACAGTTGCCAATACATCAGTCACATAGCTGATAGACGTCTGGTAAACTTAAATTCCACCTTGGTTGAAATTTTTATCATTAAGACCCATAAATACTGTAATAAAACGTAGTAAAATATAAGTCATACAGATCACACATTCAACTAGGTAACATTATTCAATTTTCTTAATTGCACAATATCACCCCAATGGTACGAGTACAAGCTAAAAGTTATCATGGTTTGATAAATGACTAATTGGTACACTGGAATGTAAAAGGCTGGTAACCACAGAATAGTACATTGTAGTTCCTTGATGAAACTTACACACAGGAGTTCTCCATTACATACAACCTACAGTACTTATAAAGACATTCAACCAAAATTGTTTGTCAGTTTGGTCCCCTATTAAAGTTATGTCACTAAAATAATAAAGCAAAAAACTACATATTATAGTAAAAGTAAATAATAACGAAATAGATAGGACGGAAGATCTTTCAACCTTTCACATTTACCTGTCCGGAATGACATCAAGTTATGGTTAATCATTACTCTGCTCAAAAAACCTACTTTACAGGCAAACTATGCTATGAGATGATTTTTAAAAAATTGGGTGTTTAACAATAACAAATTTGCTTGAGTCTGACCTTGATTGACTGACTCTCAAGCTAGCAAACCAAAAGAGAGCTGGCTCATTTGGACTGGAATAAAATGAAGAGTCATAGATTTATGAAAGTAAAGTAAAAATTACTCAGACCACTGGTAATGTTTCTGACGAGAGTTGATGGCACAATTTGCAAAATATTTCTTGACTAAATGGGGCAAACTACTTAAGTTGGCCCAACAGATTGGTGAAATGTAAAATGGTGAAACATAAGCTGCCACTTACAAACCATCAGTTGGCACAACCCAATAAGCTGCAGAAAACAATATTAGTCATGGCACCACAAAGTCCCCAAAATCAAAATTTTCTGCACACAATAATAGAACTGATCACATACGACTTTTATGAACACATCAAGTAACACCATAAAATGAGGACTTCATTCTCATGTGATAATTTTGTAGGAACAAAACATAAAGGAGTTCACAAAAACAATACATATAGTGTATTCTAAAACAAACTACAACCAAACAAGGCTATTAAACAGGAAATAAAAATCTCAACAGTCTTTACAAGAAACAGTTACTTTAAGATAGTTCATTTAATTTACTCAACAATAGAACAATTGTTATGCTAAATTCCAACAAGAGGGAAGGCCTTGGCCATATCATTGTTTTAGGTGGATATTCATAGAAGCTTCAATACAATTAATTTAGCTTGGTGGAATGGTTTTTGCTTTCTGACCAATCCCAAGGTGAGGCCGAGATCCAAACCAGGACATTTTCCACTCCACAGTTTCTCTAAGGAGCCTTTCTTCTTCTGGAGAAAAATGTAAAAGTGTTGCTACTGCTCTTGTTAAGTGTTTTGCCTGGGAAAAAAGAATGCAAGGCAAAGGAAAATTTATTAATGTCACAAAGCAGGATAAATGAAACCAAACTGAGATGAAATTGTACAATCGGATGACTTACTTCATACTCCCGACTGGTCAGAAACTTGATGAGCACATGCTTCAGATATTGGAAGTTAACGTCATTGTAGTCAACAGGACTTGAGGTGGCTCCTGCCTGCTGTTGCAAGCGTCTCTGAGACACCTGATGACTGGAACTCGGCGCAAGGACAGCCGCAGAAGCATCTTCAGAGGCTGAGCCACTACTGGTCGTGCCATTGCTTCCTGATTCTCCCCCAAAAGTTCCAGGATGAATATTTAGCTCCCTCTGGAGTGTTTTTTTCATATCCCCAAGCCTCTGTTGAAGCTGCTTTATATTCTGTAAGGTAAATAAAAACATGTAACTCAACATGTCTGTTTAGAAGCTAGGAGATAAAGATGTCTTGGTTACCTTGTTTTTTTCCTGCAACTGTGATTCCAGTTCAGAAACTGCTTCTCTCAATTCTTTTTCTTGATTGGACGTCAAAATGTATTTATCTCTTTCTTGTTCTACTTCTTTAAGCTGTGCAGTTGCATTCTCAATTTGGTGTTGAATACGCTTTATCTCCTGTAGAACAAGATACACATCAGTGGTTTGAAGTGGCTTGCAGACGAGAAAGGGGCAAAATGTACTCTTACCTCATCCTTTGCTAACAAAGTCCCCTCAAGTATCTCAAGACGCTTCTTTAAGCCTTCCATCTCTTCCTCTTGTGCTTGAATATGATGTTTCGATGATTCAACCTGAAAAATTAAGTCAGTTGGACATAAGAGATCAAATTTTATATGGTAGAGTGACAAGAAAACTGTAAACACATACTTGGTGAGAGATTTCAGATGATTTGAGGACAACTGCCTCCCTTTCACTTCTTTCTCTGTCTAAGGCTCCAAAAATTTCAGCACATTTTAATCGCTCAGCAGCTAGCTGCTGCTCCAGCTGCTTTATCTGGTTTTGGGAGGTTTCTGCTTCAGAGTTCAATAAAGCTTTAAGCTCAACAATCTCCTCTTTCAGTTCCTTAGCTTCTGCTTCCGACTTTGCTTGAAGCTGAGTCATTTTGTCTTGTTCTGAAGTCATCTCTTCCTGTAATCGTTTCAAGCCATTTTCCAGTGAAGTCTGAGTATCCTTCATCTTCCCCGAAATGTCACGTTTTTCTCTGTTAGCTGCATCCTGTAAATGAAAAACAAACTGAAACAGCGAAGCAGTTGACAAGACATGATACACTGAAGGTCCTGGTCTGATCCCTCTGTTCCCTTCTCGTACTTTAGTACATATAATCCTTAAAATTATGAGAAAAGGTGGGTATGTAACATTTATTTATCGAAAATATTGATGTGAGGACTCAAATGGTACTACCAAAGCAAAAAAATCAATCCTCACGAAACACAAACTACAAATGTTCTAAGTTATATTAGTTAAGCACTAGCTCAGCATGCAACAGGACATTATTATCAAAAACCTTTCTAGAGTGGTGTTAGTGCAATGGTTCTAAAAAAAAATGTGCCTTACAGAACCCAAACAATACTTTTATTTTGTGTCAATTAAAAACAAAATAAGTGCAGCAACAAACATAAAATAAATTACAGTATCTCACTAATAACAAACAATAAAATATCAAAGCCAACAAACAATGTACTGTGAGTACTAATAATGAACAAAGAACACAAAAATACTTGAAATAATACTTTTACGCCTTTGGTTAAAACTAAACCCAATGATCAAATCTACTTAACAACAGACAAGTCATAAAATAAAAGTGATTCAGGCGAAACAGTAAAACTGCATCACATGCAAGTAAGAAAAATTTTAAAAAAATGGTGTTACTTGTTGGACCCAATAACACCATGACAGAATGCATTTCAAGAAAACCTCTCATGACTTTATTCCCCTCAAATGAGATCAAAAACCAGAGGCAGTAGTTGACTAAAAAAACCACCCTTGTTGAACAAAAAAGAATCACTTAACAACTAAGTTACATCATATCTTCTTCATGCATGCTGCAGAAAATTAAATTTTTGACTACTTCTTGGACTCAAAAGTCTGACTGTTAAACCAAGTAGTTTCTTCATCCGATGACTCCATCTGAAACACAACAGATCTTCACGTGGCAATCTTATGTGGACTAGACTCATTGTTTTTATGAAGTGGCTCGTTGCTACTACCCTCTAGTCTAAAACAGAGAACATTTCACCTGTTTCTTTGAGGTTGAAAGAAATGTCTACTTCACAATAAAATATCACACTATGAATGATAAGATGAAATGGATATAACTTTTATGAGAATTGAAGTAAGTGCAAGAAAGATAGAGAGAAAACCAGAGTGCATATCCATATGGTATTAAGATAAAGCAAAACAAAGTCCAAGAAACTAGTGTGTTAAATGATACTTAATAGCAAATATAAAATTGCACCGAAGCAACACAATAAATGCTCATGCAACAACCCACACAAATTATTTAATTGTTGGTAAATATTGCCAGCAAAGACACAAAATGTTGAAGTGTCTTAGAGCTTGCAATGTTCCAAACCTTACAATGATCCAAACCGCTGATAAATTCTATAATGTCATCATCCAAAATAATTGAAAACATATTGTAAGATTACTCACGAGTTCATTCCGTAAGTGTTCTATTTCTTGGACTAATGCATTATTCTCCACCGCAGATTCAGCAGCACCGGCAACTTCTGATTCCAACTGCTGAATGCGTTCTTCAAGCCGTTCACATTCTTTCTCAGCCCTTCGCCTTTCAGCACCTTCCTCAGCAGCTTGCCGGCAAAGACGCCCAACCTACAAACAGAAACAAAATCACATATAAAAGCTACAGTTGCTCAAAACATTTTCAGGATAGAGACAGGATGGGTAACACCAACCTGAGTTTCTAATGAAGTTATTTTGCTACTCCATGATGATTTGATATCTGCTAAATGCAGATGGGCTTCCTCAAGCCGTCTTTCCAAAAGAGTGCGTTCCCCTAAAAGGCCTTGGACTCTTTCATCGACAGATAATGGAGCACCAAGAGCTACACAGTCAGCACTTGTTCTTCTTTCTAAGACTGCAACCCTATCTTTTAAATGACGAACATTCTCTTCACTTTGTGCAAGCTCACTGCGAAGAGTCATTCTTTCTTGTGCAGAAGAGTGGCGTAATGTTTCCATTTCATCCTGAATTAAAAAGATTGTAAAAAAAGAAAAATAGAAAAGTAAATAAAAATAAATAAAACACAGTACAATAACTAATGGGTATCATACTTTACATACAAAAACAAATGTCAACAGTTTATCTACTGTGGAAAAAATCTTATTGACTGAAACCAAGTCAAGACATGCAGAACAGAAAGAAGAAAGCAACCAGAAGTGAAATGTCGACAGATGTTTTGTAAGCCGTGCAGAGATGCAAAAACAAAACCAAAAAAAGGAACAAACCTGTGTTTTAAATGAAATAAACAAAAATAAGCTTCATTTTGTGCTTCACATGGTAAGTAAGTGCCTAGAGTGAAAATGATCTTCATGCTAGTCTGTTCTTTAGATATTCTTCAAAAACATCGCGTAAAGCTGAAATAATCTGATAGCATAATTTGCACCAAATAAAGGCGAGAAGGTGTCATGCAGCCAAAATCTTAAAATGGAGATGTGCCACATTTTATGTTATATTCAATACATAGACGAGATAGAAGAGGAAACATTTAAAACAGTTACATTTGTGGCACTGCACAGCAGCTCAGACCAAGAATTGGCTAAGAGAAATAGATAGGAAATCCCAGTTTGCTGAATGTTTCCTTGCTTCAGTCACCTCCAATAACCTAGTGCAAGATGTGCCACTGGAAGAAACCCATTCGAAATTTTTTGGAAAGGGGGAATTCCAGGTGAGTTTGGATCAGACACTCTTGTACAAATGATAATGGAGTGAGCATGAGGGCTGTAGTAATAACTGTAGATGAAAAGGAGTAGGCAGACCAAAAGATCGATAGAAATTTACCATGAATGTGCTGTCAAAAATAAAATTAGCAGACTTTGTGTTCAACATGTAGCCGGGGGGAAAGCAATACAACTAATTTGGCCGGAGCAGAGAAATCAGCTGTTTAGTATACAGTACATACCTGAACATTGCTGATCTCCTCTTCAAAATGCCTCAGACGACTAACTTCTGATTTCAGTGTAGCTATTTGAGCACTGTTTTCCTTTATTGTGTTTACTTTCTCCAACAATTCCCTCTCTTTGGCAAGAAGCTGAAAAACAGAAACAAAAATTACAAGTCGAACAGAGATATAAAAGAAGATCCAGTGACAATAAAAATAAAGAAAACCATACTAACCAAATGTTTTATTTTTGCCATTTCCTGAGTTTGAAAACCCTCTAGCTGCTCTTTCTCCTCTTGAAATCTACAGTACTTTTCCTTGAACTCTGAAAAAGAAAGGAGGGAATGATTCAACGATCTAAAGAAAATTTATATTCAAAATTAAGGTTTCTGGGAGACCAACCTTCTGCCAACAGAAGTGCTTTCTGGAGTTCCTCAATAGATTTATCTTTCAAATTTTTTTCTTCTTCTTTGGTTTCTAACTGCTTTTTCCAATCTTTCTCTTTGTCATCCAGTTTTCTCTTCCACTCCATCTCCAATTTGTTCAGTTTCCTCTTCCACTCATCTTCTCTTTTCTCTACCAGCTTCACATCTTTCTGAGGCAAACCTTTTAAGTCCTCCTGAGTTAAATCAGCTACATTTTCACAGGGTTCTGGTGAGTAAGAAGTTTCTCCACGAATACCATCAACAGATAAACTGCCAATGCTGGATGTGGATCCTTGACGAGAATGTCTTCCCTTGAATGCCGCTGACTTTTGAGACGCTCCACCAAGAAGGGGGCCTATTTTGGAAACATCACTACCGGTTTCTTCACGGATTTTGTTCTTCAGTCCTTTAAACATTTTGGATCTGCAAGAAAGGAACGGAGGATTTGTCAGGAGCATGTCAACCATCAGGAAATGTCACATAATCTGCTCCAGATGTACTGGGAAGAAAAAGAGATCAAGGAGCCAAAAAATCTTAACATGAAATTGTGATCATTGCGAGGATGGTGCTGAAGAAATCATTGAAACTTTAGACTTGACTCAGCAAGTGACAACCTCTGAGCAACATTGTGGGCTAGCCTAACCTAACCTAACAATGACGAATGCTAACCATAGAATAACAGTCGATTATGTGTTCAAAAGAACAAAAAGATAAGGTGAGTATTCACGTAACTAATCAAAGGCCTGACATTTAAAGCGACAAACGCCGTAACAAGACAAGCAGCCATGGTCGTGGTTACGTCAGCTATCCGTCATCAAATCGCGTGACTTACGAACGCCCATTTCTGGGAAAACAATAAACCAGGATAAACTTACTCTATCTTCACTCTTTGATTTATTTCACAGCATCAAAACAGTGAATCAACATTTAAATTGGTGACATATGTACATGTTGATGTTGTTGATGTTGATTGTAGCAGACGGTCGACGGTCGCGATAGTGCGAACAAGGGTGTTATACGCACGAATATTTGTCGGCGGGTATATAACATGATTTGAACTGGGTGCACAGTAGGCCTGTTTTGCTTATTGCATTTACACCTAGTCTTTCAACGGAATCGACCAGGAACGCAAAATCGCAGATCTTGTGTGCAAAAATTCTAACCTTTTCGCAGAACAATGAAGCATCTGCCCATGGTTTGGACTTGACAAGTCCGCGATGCTTTGAGTGGGACCCATAAGGCTGGGTACACTATTTGCAGCACGGCTGGGGTATCGTTTGGCTCGAGGACGGTGAACTCCGGGTGAACCCGCCAGGATCACGTCAGGATACGCCGTCAGCCCTGTTGTCTTCGGACAAAATACCCGGAGCCGGCGGGTGATTCTTCCTTCGTGTGGGTGATCCCCGAGCATCTTAAAGCAAGATTAGGTGAGTGGTTGTAGTTGGTACTTGTGTTGCCAGCCAGTTGTGGGCAGTTTGCAGTGGAGCAGCCAAGGGTTGTTGCGGTGGTGGATCCGAGCTTATTTTTCCTGGCAGCAGGACAGAGATTGAATGCTTCGCGAAGTAGGTAAATGTTGTTGCTGCCGAGCCTGGTCCTCGCTGCGAGTGCCGTGCCACATTTTGCTGGCCCATCGCGGGGCGTGAGCCGCGGGGGGCGATTGGCGCCGTCGGGTCTGCAGGGGGTTGCAGTGCAGTGGAGTGCAGTACAGTAGGCTGAAGGCCAGCAAGCCTTGGGGTGCAACTCACCCCGGGGCGTATCGAAGAACCTACGCTTGCGTTCACTAGTTTGTCAATAGACGCCCCCAACGTTCCATTGCGGTGGCCTGTCTTTGCGGCCCGAGTTAAAGGTCCTTTTTTAAACCTGCTACAATTGTTAGGTTATACCATCAGATCTTGGCTGTCACAGCACCTTGACTGATTGTTTTTCTCAAGGCAATGTATATTTAGAGTGCATTTCCGTGTGTAGTCCTCAAGTTGTCTTTGTACCTTTTAAAGTCTCAGTGTTTCAATTTCCATGGTTTTTGAGCTTTAATCAATAAATTGTTTTTTACGATTTTCTCTGTTTCACTGATTGCAGGCTGTTCAGGGTTCTGAATCTTAGAGCAATGGGGGACCAACCAGTTGTCTTTGTCACTGGTAATGCCAAGAAGCTCGAAGAAGTGGCCCAAATTCTTGGTCAGAAGTTTCCTCACAAGGTAAGATCTATTACCTCAGTATAAAAAATTATTGCTGGGCATATTATCCCCTTTACGCCATTAAAAAAAGATTTGTCATGTAAATAGTGGAAGTTACATCATTTGTTCATGTGTAGGAGGGAGAAATCTCATCTTCACCTAACTTTTTGCCGGTAATGTAAGGATTGAATGCTTGAATGTATGCCTGTTGAATACATGTCATTCAGTGCTCATAGTTGAAGTCTCATGGGAGGCAGATGGAAAATCAAGTCTAGTTACCCCTCTCCATTAGTTTTTGACAGCTTTTGACTAACAATGTGTCATGGGTTTGGCTCAACTTCCCTTGTTATTTTTTTCTGTATGTTGTCATTTCTTTTCTCTTTGTTTTCCAGCTGGTTTCCAAGAAGCTGGATTTGCCAGAGTATCAAGGAGATGTTGACTTCATTTGTAAACAGAAGGCGAAGGCAGCAGCTAAAATCGTAAATGGACCAGCTCTTGTAGAAGATTCATGCCTGTGCTTCAATGCAATGGGTGGCCTACCAGGTAAGTTGCTTTTTTTTTATTTCAGAAATTTTTAGAACATGTTAAGGTATTTTATCAAAAAGATAAATGATCTCTAATCACAATTAAAATCCGATAACTGCCATTGAAAAATTACATGTGAGAGAATTGTGCTTCTTAGTCCTTTGGTTGAAAGTGGTCAAAAACTATCAAAATAGGAAAAGATAATGATGGCACTTAAAATAGGCATCTTACTTGCTTTCAACTTTCTTTTTTAGATTAACTTTTAGTGTTCTAAGCACTCCAATTAATATCTTGCTCTTTGGGTACCTTCTTACCAAATTTTGTGTTCATCTGTTCAATGGTGTCAGACTACTCAAGTGCAAATTTCAATTTTATTGGTCCTCCAGAAGATACTCTTTTGAGCCTCTCTGGATAAATTTACTCTTTCCAAGGTTAAGATGCCATTTTTGAACTGAAAATAACAAATTTTCCCCTTGTGGGGTAGGTTGTGTTCCACGCAAACCACATCCATCGGTGCAGCGGGAAACTATCATCTGCAACCTCCCACTCCTCTTTGCTGAAGGACATCCAACATGTTTGGAAGAAATCACGGAGACGCAGTTGGAACGGTTCATTCCTTTTATGGTCCAGTGTAGCATTGGTGCTAAACCAGGAAGAGCACCAGCATGGTGGCCTGTAGGATTCCCATTCACCTTTCCTCTACGAAAAGTGCCAGCTGTTGCAGACCGATGGAAACCGTGGCTCAAGACTTTAGTTTGCAGGTGCTATTCATACCATGGTGCTGAATACATGCTACGGTTTTGCACACGTCTTTATTCAATGTGGCCAAACCACATAAGAATCCGAGATACTCAAGAAGGACTAGTGAGCTTATTTCATCTGGCCAGTAGGAAGCACATTATCACAATGAGAAAAATTAATCAGGTTTATGATCAGGCTCCTCTTAGCCCTCGCAAAACTTTATTGCCAAAAAGAACTTTGGTAGATCGTCAGCAGCAGCAAATGGATATATACTTGTGCAGTTGGTGTGACCAAGAGTTCTCCTCCTGTATGGATGTAAGAATCCATGAAAAGCATCATATTGGTAATAATGTCACTAGTTGGCAAAGTCAAGAGCAGGTTATGCAATACTTAGGATTGCAGCCCACTAGAGGCCCAAGAATTATACATAATTCTACTCAGAATCGTCAAAGACGAGCAGCTTCAAAACAATGCATGAGGAGAAATTGTTCTGTACCTTTATCCTCTCCTCTTGGCTCTTTGCTTCTTAAAAATACTGTCCGTGGCATGATTGACAACCCTAGTGAGAGCATAGAACACATGGAGAAACACTGTAAAGTCAGAGAGAGATACCACACTAGTTCATCACGGTTTCCACGTCGACATTGTGGTATGGCAAGTTGGGATCAGGATGATTCTAGTACAAACTCAAGATCCTCAAGTCCATCAGATAGTGGCTGGTCTCACATGTACTGTTTCAATAAGCAACAACGCAGAGAGAAGGTTGCATTATTGAACACTGGCCTGAATGCTTCTTCAAGGCGCTCCTTGAAGTTGTGTCGACCCGTCAGAGTTGTGGTTGAAAGATCCGAAAACTGAAGTTCCAGTGGCTGTCACTTGCATCCACCCTCTCTGTGTGTATTCTTTTTCCCAATGAAATTTGAGTGGAAAGTAGAGTTTGGTTCCTAGCTTGTTCAGTCAGATTTTTCTTTCAGCATTGAGTTAAATTAAATTTTGTCTTTTTGAGGTAATCTTGCATGTTAACCTTCAATCTTTGTCTATTTAAAGGTCAAATCATGATTTTAAGAGGCCAAGTTTTGTTTCCTATGAAAGTGAAAATAGGATATTTTCTGTTCTTGTTAATTACCATGTCCTTGCTGGTATTTGTTTTTGATGTAACTTGTAGAATTATTATCAATTAATTAAATGTAAATAAGATACCATGACGTCAAATCAGTTTACAAGATGCACCTGTCATGCTAGATTTATCATTTATATCATACTTATTTTGATTGTACTGTATGTATAATAATTATTTTTATCTGATCTTATTTGTAGATTTATTTTATTTGTTCTTTTGGTGGCTGTGATGTTCCACCTGTTAATATTGCTTTTGGCACCCTTATTATGATCCTGAATTGAAACAATGTGATGGTGTGATAGTAGGTAGAATATTGCTGATGTGTGAGAGTGAGGATGGAAAGGAAGCGCACATTTATAATGTGATTTCAATACACACCACAAAAGAGAGTATTTATTTGAGCCCCAGACTCAAAACGTTGTTTGTTTTTTCTTTCTTTATCCTTATTTAATATATAAAATGTGTAAGACTGATGACATATCCCTGGAAAAACATGCTGGTTAGTGTTGTGTGTTACTATTGGTAGCCATTGTACAAGGTAGATAGGTCTCCTTCCTGAAATCCAAGGAAGATGCCCATTTTGTGCTTTTCTTGGTTTGTCTTAACACTTCTCAACCAAGGACCTCCACTTACAGTTCAGTTAGGTTTTACCATGTTTTCTCATCTGCTTTACCAGGTCCTTATATAAAGTGGTTTCAAGATTCTTTGGGGCCAGAGGGACTGCACCGCATGCTGGCCGGGTGGGAAGACAAGTCGGCTTATGCTTTGTGCACTTTTGGCTTTTGTCCAAGCCCTGACGATGATGCAGTTGTCCTTCTCTTCCAAGGGCGCGCAGATGGGACCATTGTCAGTCCTCGCGGTCCTCGCGACTTTGGTTGGGATCCTTGCTTTCAACCTGAGAATTACAGTCTTACATTTGCTGAAATGCCTAAAGAAGAAAAGAATAAAATTTCTCATCGCAGTCAAGCTTTGGCAAAAATGCGAGAGCACTTTTGCAATTAATTGTGGTACTTGACTTGGAGGAGGCATGTCTTGACTTGATGACATTCCTTTCTTTCCCTGTAACCAGTCTTCCTAGATAAACTCACATTTTGCTAGTACTCCTGGAATTAGGAGTCCTCGCCCAAAGTTTAGTTTCTTATTGAAATTAAGACATTTATATTTGTAAGTTTGATTGATGTGATAAATGCAAACTAATTATTTTGTTCCTGGCATAGGCGCAGTCTAATTTATTTAATTTTACTCTTGGTATCTGGTCTATCAGTGAATTTAGTCTGTGTATTGTAGGAGATTTCCCTTGTCTACTTTGTAAATTTCACCCAAGCTGTTTGCATGCTGTATTGGTGTAACTTTTGCTGATGTGTTGTAGGAGCTATTTAGTTATATAAAACCCCTTGCATCTTTTGAGGGAGCTCTGCAGGCAAAGCTCCTGCACACAATTTCATGTTCTCCCTGTGGTATCAATCAGAAGAAACAAACAGATGCACCAAGTTCCCATTAATCCATTTCATGACCAGGAAAGTCGAGCATTCCAGTGCCAAGTTAATTTTGTATCTTAAAATATGAATAGCTGTAAAGCTGAAAATTTGCATGGTAATCTGTACATCTGCTATCTCTTTCTGTTGTCCTAAATGGAAAGAGCTAATTGGGTCTTGTCGAAGGAACTGCTTTCTGCCTGTTAAGTGATTGCAGAGTTAACCGACAATATACTGTTGTTGTTTTACATTTTGTTCCTTTTTCTGATACCCTTGTCCAGCCTCCCCTCCTCGGCCTCCTTGGGTCAGCCGGTCAGCCTGCAGGGTAGGCAAGCCCGTCGACCACGGCAGTGCAGTGGCGGAATATTGCCTATCCTGCAGGGGCTTTCCACCTACTTCGACATTGTGCAAATTGATGAGTCCCAGTGAATCTTGTGGTTCCATCAATAAATACCGATGATGCCATGTTCGATTAGGTCTATTATTTATTACATTCCATAGACTAAAACAAAATAAAATATTTGAGATATGGCAACAAAATTTACATTCAAAAGAGAATTCACGTCTTACAATGGCTTCAAAAGAAACAAGGTTTACCTCAACAACGTTCTCGTTTAACACATTAAAAAACGGAAACTTGTAATGAGGCGCCCTAAATAAGGCACCACTCCGCGCAGGCGCCTTTTTCTCGTGCGTGCGGCCGTGCGGGTCTCTAGCAGTCGACCTTGGCTCACCTCTCCAAGAGGCCGCTTTCATTTGGTGCGAACTTCCACCACAGCCACTGTCGCGCCGCTTTGCTTGAGGAACTCGAGCCACTTCGCCTGATGCAGGGAGAGCTCGTCCTTGGGCCCCTTCACCTCCACGAACAGGCTCTGCTCGGAACACAAGCTGCAGTGTAGTGACCCGCAAACCAAAAGTAGGGGCTGTGTATGTCGCCAGCTAGACCCTACTTACCTTCGACTCGGTGGGGTTCCACAGGAGGAGGTCGGGGAATCCCGATCTGTACGAGGAGAAGTCACTCAGCAGTCTCCGGCAAATGGCCACGAAGAGTGGAACAGAGATGCATTTTAAAAGGCCCTGCAACACATACACGCCTAGCACTCACACAAAGAGCACACTGCGAATGAGCGCACGCTCCTGCCACCGCTGCTCACTGCTACCCACCTCCAGGTCCAGCTCCTGCAGGAGCTGCCACCGCACCAGGCTGGGCGTGCCGGCCAGGGCGTCCCTGGCGGCCAGCAGGTCGGCGGCGACGGCCGCGTGTCCCTCGGCGTCGGCGTGCTGCAGCAGCGCGTCGCAGCGCTCCTCCATGGCCATGTGCCGCGTCACCCAGAAGCGGTCCGTCGCCCAGTCCAGGGGCCTGTCCTGGCAGGGGCTGCCCCAGGCGTCGTCCACGCCGCCGTCGTACACCGCGTTCCAGAAGGCCAGCACCGCGAGCGACACGAGCGTCTCGCCCTCGTCGTCGAGGCCGAGCGGGAACTCGCCGCTCTTGGCGTACTTGGCCATGACGCGCTCCTCCACCGACAAGTGCTGCTTCTTGGCGCCGGCCGCCGGCTGGAAGACGAACACCTTCTTCAGCGACGCGCTTTTCCTGCAAACGCGATTTCGTTAGTCGCGGCGCGCGCGTCAACACGACGGAACTGTGTTGCAGATCGGGACCTACCCGGGCAGGGCCGAGGCCGTCAGCCTGACGACGGCGAGGTCCTGCAGCTCTACCGGGGCGGAGAGCAGCTCAGCCAGCCGCGCCCGCACGTCCTCCGTCAGGTCGGCCTGGTCGCCCCTGCCGCGCCCCTGCCCCTGCGGCCGTTGCACGAAGGCGAGGAAGGCCGCGGCGCTCCGCTCCAGGTGAGCTCGCTGCGCGCCCCGATGGCCGCCGTCCTCCAGCTCTCCGATGAGCAGCTCGGCCGCCTGGCGGGCAAAGACAGAACAGCGTTAGTCGCGTGTTGACGGCCGGCCTTGGGGCCCAACAACGACGTTCTTACTGCATGCTGGCCGTCGGGCGTCGCCTGCATCAGCTTGGTGTGGCCCGCCACCCACAGGACCCTCTTCTCCTGCGCGTGCAGGCGCTGGCCCAGCAGCTCGCAGTACACCGTGAGCGCGAGGGTCTTCTTGTCTTCCTCCCAGGAGCGCACCAGCGTCTCGGCCGCCACCGTCAGCGCCTCGGCCAGGGCGTTGCCCAGCGTGCGGTTCGCGACGCTGTAAAAGAGCCGGCGATGATCGGAAACGTTGTCCAACGGTAGAAATGGGGTTTGGCTACGTACTCGTCGTTCAAGCTGCAGGTGGCGAGGTGGCTGCGGTAGCTTTGCAGCAGCTCTTCGGTCACGTTGGCCACCTTCGGCCAGTGGCTCTGCTTCACCGCCTCCTCCAAGTCCGTCCGGTGGCTGGCGATAGACTCCCACCTGGAGACGAGAGCGGTTCAGTTCGGCCACTGTTGGCAACCGTAGTGGAGCCCTGGGCCTCTAGTTGGCAACGCTATACTCACGCCACTGCTTGCTGGCGGGTGGTGAACATGCACCGCAGCGGGGGCGGCAGTCCGCGCCAGCCCAGCCCCTCCAGCCGCAGCGGCTGGGGCACGGGGCGCAGCAGCATCGCGCGGGCGGCGCGGAGGCGGTCGCCGTCGGGCGGGCACGGCGCCCAGGCCGCCAGCAGCAGCAGCACGCGCTCCACGAGCTGCCGCGGCACGGCCAGCACGCGCACGCAGCCACCCAGCGCCACGCACAGCCTGCAGCAGGGAAGGAATCAATGAGTCATGAGTCCACTGGAGAGAAAGACTGGAGCAGCCGGCCAAAATTCTAGACGCGTTTTGAGCTCCAGAGTCGCTAAACAGGGCTCAAATCGAACGTGTGACCCCACCAATGGATTCCTCTTTCGGACAGGAATCCATTGGTGGGGTCACACATTCGATTCGAGTCCCATTTAGCGACTCTGGACCCCAAACGCGTCCAGGATTCTAACCACCCCTCCGGTCTTCTGGCACACTGTGGGTCTCGGACGGTACACTGTATACCTGGCCTGCAGCCGCGGCAGGGCCTGCGGTGTCTCGACACTGAAGCGCTGCACGGCGCGCACGAACGACAGCTTGTTGCGCTTGGAGGAGGCGGGCAGGGTGACCAGGCCGTCCGCCACGGCCTCCACCTCGTCCTTGCGCAGCAGCTCCAAGATGTGCTTCAGGTCGGCCGACTGGAACTCTGGGGAATGAAAAAGCCGGGCGTGACTCAGTGGATTTGCCGGAAGACCGGCGGAGGCGGCCAAAATTCTAGACGCGTTTTGAGCTCCAGAGCCGCTAAATAGGACTCGAACCGAACGTGTGACCCCATGAATGGATTCCTCGTTCGGAGAGCAATCCATTGGTGGTTCGGTCGGTTCGAGTCCTACTTAGCGACTCTGGAGCTCAAAGCGCTTCTAGGATTTTGGCCGCCTCCACCGGTCTGGCCCACTGTGCGTGACACGGTACGACAGCCAGAGACTCACCACTGGAGACGAAGCCGGTCTGCGCCAAGGCGGCGAAGTGCTCCAGGATGGAGCCTTCCTGGCACCGCACTTGGCTGCCGCGGATCCAGGGCTCCTTCAGCCCCAGCAGCCTCAAGTAGACCGCGCCCGTCTCCGCCGACAGCTGCAGCCATTGCCGCAGCACCTGTCGCTCGTACTCCGCCAAGGTGCTAGAGCAGTCCCCGGTTTCCTCGGCCAGTTTCTAGCAAACAAAGTACAAATTACTTTCCCGGCACGAAGTGGGCCGGTCTTTGAGCCACTGCACTGGCGCTTACCTTGACCAGGTCGCCGAACGTGCTCAGGTACAGCAGTTTGTGCTCGTCGGCCGCCGCGTTTTCGGAGGCCGTCGAGGAGGTCGTCGTGCTCTTGGCCGTCGAGGCCGTCGCCGTCTTCCATCCTCGCGCGCGCCCTCTCCTCCAAGCACTCCCTGTCGGCGTACAACAAATTACGCATGCATTGCCACCGCTTCCTCTCGGCCGTTTCGTTTCGATTCGATTCGCTTAGGCAGGCGCACTATGGCTGCAAAAACGCAGCCCGTCTTTCGCACCTCGTCGTTAAATACTCACTCTGAGTGACCAGCAGAGCCGCTTTTTTCTGCACGGCTCCGTCTCTCAGTGCCCGTCGCCGCTTCTCGTGACGCAACCGCGTGTCCCACTGCACCCCTGAGAGGCACAATCAAACATTAAAACATGGCAAACCGATCCCGCACCGTGCCGTCGCTTGCTGTCTCTCTCGCACCCCAGCGCAACGGCCCGTGAGTGCGAGGGAGACAGAGCAACGCTCTCCGTCTTACCTTTCGCCGTCGCTTTCTTCGGGCGTTTCGCGCGTGCGACGCTGTCCAAGGTCCACGTGGTGTTGTTGCCCAGGTCCAGCTTCTCCAGCACCACGCTGCACTCCCTGGTCAAGCCGGCGTGGTCGTGCTTGGCGGGCACGGCGGGCGCGCCGCCACCGTTGACGTTCGCGCGGTGTGCCGCCGGTAACCTCTCCACGACGACCCAGCACCGCTTCAGCCCCGCCGCCGCGGCCACGTCCTCGTCATCGTCGGCCTGCGTGTGTCCCGTGGACGTGGATGCGGTGGATGCAGCCATGTTCCACGCGTGCCAGCGCGTGCGGTCACGTTAGCACACTTGTGTGCAAGACGGCAGCGCGTGTGCACGTTGACGCGACTCGCGGTCAGTACGCAGAACTCCCTTTGTTTACGCCAGGGCTGCCAACCCCGCAGCGCCAACCAACCGCCGGGCGGAGCGTCGCTGCCACCACCCCAGCCACTGCCAGCCATCCCGGCAAACAGCATCCCTGCTCATTCCAATTGCTTTCGAGAGAGGAATATCGATGCTCTCTTTTGGTCGCAAATTTCATACTTGGACCTTACGCGGCTCTTATTGTGGTGTGGCCTTGACCCTCCGATTGGGTTTTACTTCCGTTTCGGAAACACTCCGCTAGCGTGTCCGGACAAGTCCGTGATTATTCTTTCTCTTTCTTTAGAAAAGACTGAGTTCCCCGTGTTTTGGCAGTGGAGTGAACTTGGCAGTGGAGCGACATGAGACACGAGACGGATGGGGTCGTCACGGCGGTGCCGCGACCCGACTCCAGTCGTTCGGATCTACTTTGGCGGTACGGGGAGGGGAGGGGAGGGGAGGGGGAGATGGGACCTGCACGACTATCCCAAACACACTCGTGCCGCGTCGTCGCCCTTTTTCGGATGCGTCCCAGCAAGCTGACTTCCTTTCGTCGCTCTGTCTCTGTCGCACTCGTGGGGCGTGCCCAGCCAGTGTAGAGGCTGCGGACTTCGGACGCCCTCCGCGGAAAGGTCGTCCCCTCGGTCCCCTCATGCACGCGGCAGCACGCGGCCGGCAGACTCATTCCGAGATTCGTCGCTCTGTCTCTCTCGCACCCATGAGGCGCACCCATGTTCTCCAAAACGACTTTCGGAATGAGTCTGCAGACGGCGGGCTAGGCAGTGCTAGGCAGCGTCACAGGTTTTTGGAGCCGGGGCGAGGGGAGGGGGACACCGTTCGCGTGCTGTGGCGGCTGCTGGCGGCTGAAGGCGACGGATCGCAATGATAGGCCAGTCTCGAGACCACCTCCACGGCGTGCAGTGCACTGCAGTGTAGTTCCAGTGGTTCCAGCAGACCGCCGCGCCGTGCACTCTGGAATAGCATCGACCGCCATGACGAAGGTGGCATCGCGGACCCGGGACGGCGGATACGGCTCCTGGAAGGTCGAGGGGGAAGATGTAAGTTTTAAAGATTATATGCACTTCCTGCGCGAGGCCACAGATGGTCCTGGAGTCCATTGGTCTTCCCTGGCCTTCCCGCCTATAACTACAGTAAACTATAGTAAAACTCCAGTACCTCGTCCTCTCCTCTAAATTCAATTTCCGGTATCGTTAGGGGAAAATGGACTCGCTCGAATAAAATGGAGTATGACGACAAAGTGGCAGTTCGGTCGAGCCGAAAAAGTCGCTCTGGTGTTTGGGTTTGTCAGTGTAGAGCAAATACACCTCTTGAGACAAGTGGGACTCTTTTTCCGGCCGAGTGCACCGGGCATGGCAGCTGATGGCGTGGGAAAGAGTCGATCCCTCGCCGCCACGCGACCGTCTATGAAAGTACCCCACAGTCAACACAACTGAAACTAATGGACTTTTTACAGTGTGAGGAAAGGCCGAAAGGGGATGAATGACGTCGCAGGGCGCTGCAGGGTGCCTCCTGGGGGTGACAATAGGCGCGACTTCCCCTGGAATTCCAGGAGCCTAGCCGCCCCTGGCAGTGGCCTTTGTCAGTGACCTTTTCCTTAGACACCCAGCGGTCAGGGTCGAAAGGATGGAAAATAAAACGGATTTACTTTTGTAAAAATAAAAACAAACAGTCCTCGCTGAGCCCAGTCTCGTCCGGCCGGCACTGGCGGGAAGGCACTAGACTCGCCGACGCTGGAGGCTGTTTCCGCCTGTTTCCGGTATCCAGCTGGCTGCCGACTCTGGTTTTGTTGCTGTTGTTGTTTTGGTCTTAGTATCCCAGCACGTCCCAGCAGATCGACTGGGGGTCAGTGAGTCCATCAGTCATTGCCGAGGGGGTAACGACTGGTAAATTTCGGGTCAGCCGGATTACCTCCGGATTTCAACAAAAAAATATTGGGTCACCTTTGGATTACGCAGTATTACCCCGGATTACCTCCAAATTTCGGGTCATCCGGATTACCGAAGTCGTTACCCTTTCGGTCATTGCCAGTCATTGCCCATGGCGTTCGTGCCGGCTTGCTTCCTGATTCGGGACCAAAAAGGTTGTCCCCTAATTTTCGTTGACTGGGGTGCTGGTTTCTGTTTTATGGAGGGCATTTTCGCATGTCGGGTAACCGTCGACGTGAGAATCAGTTTAGTGAAACGGCCTAGAAAAGCGATAAGTGCAAACCGGCTGCCCCTAGTGAGTGAGTCCCGAGGTGAGTCCACTGAGGAAGTGCGCCAGGAGGGAAACAGTGCGAATGCGTTTGAGTGCGCCAATCCAAAGCCGCGCTATAAAAACGCGCTCTTCGGCTCCAGCCTCGATCAGTAACGAATATGATTATAATGCAGGAATGCCGCACTGTACGCGTTAATGTGATTGGGAATACTGTGGAGTCACGTGCTCGAAATCAAAACAATGGCACTTGCCTTGCCAGTTTGGTTTTAAATTGCCGACATTCTCAGCTGATTGATTCCGCACATCGTCGCTCTGTCCCTCTCGCACTCGAGCTCCGCCGTCCCGTGTCGGCGAGAGAGAGAAAGACAGAAGCGAGGCCTTCGAACTGCACTGGAGCACCGGGCATGGAGTCCCCCGCGCGAGGGGTATGCCCGCTCCGTGACGCAACAACAGGCTCGCCTTGGCCGGGCAGCGCGACCAGCGCGACGCGGAGTATCGCCGCCATGCCGTCCCACTGCAAACGACGGACAGTCCGGGGTCGTTGGGCCCAAGTCTTCGACAGGACGGGAAATGCAACACGTGCTATCACGCACCAAGCTCCTTCGTACTCAAGTCAAGAGTGAACAATTTTGGCATTCCTTAGGTGTGTGTGTTTGCGCGCAATTTGGGACATTGCCCCCCCTCCTTTTCTCTTGACGCTTCTCATCCCATGGCCGACAGCTGACGACGCTTGGCGCGCTTGGCCGGGCCAACAGCGCCACGGCCATGCACGAGGAGAATCTGCTCGGACGACTGGAACCAGCGAGGGGCCTGCGTCGTTCTGTGTCTCTCGCTCTCACGGGGCTTTGCGTGCGAGAGAGACGGAGCGACGAAACGCCGAGCGGAATCGGTCCGCTGCTGTCAGCAGAACGCGGCAGAAAGTGCAGCAACTGCACAGTGGGCTAGAAGACCGGCGCCGCCGGCCAAAACTTCAGAGTCTCTGAACCGAGCGTGCGACTCCACCAATGGATTCCTCGTTCGGAGAGCAATCCATTGGTGGGGTCTCGTCACACGTTCGGTTCGAGTCCCATTTAGCGACTCTGGAGCTCAAAACGCGTCAGAGACCACCCCCAACGGTCTTCTGGCCCACTGGCCCGGACGCTCCAGGGTAGGCAACCCAACGCGCCGCGACGTTCGGCGGAGGAGCAGTCACACTGGGGGCCATAAAGACGGGCCAAGGCGGGCCGAAGCTGAAGCGGGCCATAAGGTGCTCCAAGGCCCACATCGGGACCCGAGACGCGTGAGGAAATTATCCCGCGAATTGGCCGGCCTGCGGGCCAGCCTGCGGGGAGATAGTCGGATCTGGCAATCTGCATCAGCGCTAACACGTTGGCCACAGTGGCGGCGGCATGGCGGTAACCTCGTCTGGCTGCAGGTGTTGCCGCTACTCGGCCGTTCGGCGCGCACTCAAACACCGATTGATGACCGCGAGTGTCGCTCTGTCTCTCTCGCACCCCTCCGCCACGCCCCACGAGTGCGAGAGAGACAGCGCGCACGGTGGAGGTAGAAGACAGCGGGCAGTGCACTGCGGTAATGCGGCCTGGAGTCCAATGTCGACACTGGAGTTTGTTCTCGTCCCGGCGGGCAGACGGCAGAGGCCTCGCGTCAAAGGTCCTTCCCGGCGTCGCGGCGCGCGGCCCCTCCCCCGCCGGGCCCGCCGCGCGGAGGTGAGCCCCCTGGGGATTCCTGGCGGGGCGGGGCGGGGCGGGGCGGGGCGGGGCGGGCGGGCGGCGGGGCGGGGCGGGGCGGGGACAAGGGCGATGAATGTGGCCCCGTAGCCGCGTAGCCCAGGAGCCGCGAGCAGCCCCTGCGCGCGCGGCGCGGCTCGGCGGCGGCAGTGCTAGTCAGCAGGTGTTGTGTTGTGCTGCGCCAAGCTGCGCCAAGCTGGGCCCCACGGTGCCCGCATCGGTGGCTCAGAGCTCGCTGGCCGACACGGCAGACATCGCCTTGGCCGCCACGACGCACACTGTCGAGGGGGAGCGCTCCGCACCGCTCCGCACCACGGCGTCGACCTGCTTCGCCTGCATCGCCTGCACGCGCCGTCCTCGTCCTCCACGCGTCGGTTTGATTAGGGCGGAGCTTTGGTGAGGCGGCCACTGTTTGACTTTTTGACTTTAAGCATCCACTGCGTCCAGGCGGTATTTCGTCCTCCCTCAACGGGCAATTGGTCTCTGGATCTTCCTTTAGCATGCCTTTGTTACGGAGTGCGATTATCTGCCTGAGTTTGGGAGCAGTATTGCTGCAAAGTTGATCAAAACACGATTTTTCAGACATTTGTGACTGTTTTGATCAACTTTGCGGCAGTACTGCTCCCAAAGTAAGGCAGATAATCGCACTCCGTAACAAAGACATGCAAAAGGAAGGTCCAAAGACCAATTGCCCGTTGAGGGAGGACGAAATACCGCCTCGGATCAGACGCAGTGGATGCTTAAAGTCAGCCCAAAACACGATTTTTCAATGACATTTGTGACCGTTTTGATCAACTTTGAGACAATACTGCTTCCGAATTAAGGCGGATTATCGCACTTTGTATCAAAGGCATGCTAAAGGGGTCGCGTGGGGTCGCGTCCATCCACTCCGATCCGACCGGCACCCTCCTTGGTTAATTGAATTTATCTGGCCGCCACTGCACTGCAAGGCGGGGCACTCGCGGGGGCCGCGGGTCTAGACCATTGCGCATGCTTTGCATACCGCCGCTGGGTCTGTAAGAGCCACGCCGTCGGCGGCGAGTGGCGCGTCGTTAGACCCGCGGCCCGCTGAGTGCGTTGTGTGTGTGTTTGGTTCCATGTCCACTCCACTGTGGTCGTCGGCCCGCTGGGTGCCCACTGAAGTGATTTCGCGGCCCCGCCCTATCGATTTCTGTCACAAGGTCAGGTGCACGCCCCGCCCCGCCCCGCCCCGCCCCGCCCCGCCTCCTCCCGAAACGGTCGCCGCGATAAGCACTGACCTTACCTCATCGGCCGGCCGATTTAATAACAACGATAAGTCGCGTAGACAGAACGGCTCAATCCACGCCATCTTCTCTCTCCCTCCCCCTCTCTCTGTCTTCTCCCCGCGGACTGGTGATAAAGTGACAGAGAGGCAGGTTGGTGCTTTCGAACGCACCCTCTGCTGCCACGCTGGAAAACATCTCCCTCGTCGCAAACGTCGTCGTGATCCAAACATTATTGCTTTCAAAAAGTAATTTTCGGGCGGTGAGCTACTCTCCCCTGGGATGGATGGCCCACCTCGATCAGGTGTCCCGCCCCGTCCCGTCCGTGCCCGTCGTGTCGTCCCGGCTAATGAGTGCCCCCGGGAGCACCGCACGCCACTGCGCCGACGACGCTCGTCAGCTTGGGGCACTACACTGCCTGCCCGGCGAGCGAGTTTGTGGCGCTTCGCACCGCGTCGCACCGGCAGCACGCTATCGCCGTGCCCGATAACGTCACGAGCGTGATGTACAGCAGACTCATTCCCAGCGTCGTTCTGCCTCTCTCTCTCGCACTCGCGGCGCGTGCGCTGTGCGCAGTGCGTCGATCAAGGACCTCCCAATGCGATAATCGGCCTCCCCGGCGGGGAAACGGGAGAAGAGACGAGCGGAAGTCAAACAGTCAAACACTCGCCGACCTTGGCCTTGGCGCGGCGGGCTCTCCTCTCCGGAGAGTCTGGAGCGGTTTGCTCTCTGGACCGAGTCACCGAGTGGTCAATACAGGCGGGGCGAGGATGTCGCCACGTCACGGCCCCGCAGGACTTGGCGCCGCCGCGCCGCTAAACGGAAAAACAATAGTTTTTTTTAAATTTATTTTTTGGCGGTGTGGCTAAAAATAAGGCGGCCATTGTGCTACACTGTGTGGGTGCCACGGGCCACGGTTGGGTCCGCCCTTCCCGAAGTCCTGCACACAAAGAGAAGCGCGTCGCGTAATGTATGTTATCGGCGGCAAGCTGCAGACTGAATCCGAGAGTCGTCGCTCTGTCTCCGTCGCACCTACACGGGGCGTTCCGTGAGAGCGAGAGAGAGCGACGACTCTCGGAACCAGTGTGCTGGCGAACGCGGAGGCAAGGCAAGGGCGGGGCCGCGCGGGGCGAACGCCGAGGCAGGACGAGTACGTCGTCGCTGTCGTGACGGTCACCTTCGTCTTCGTCCTCCCCGGACGGCGACGCGCGGCTCGGACATGGAACCAAACAGACTCCCCCCTCCCCCTCCCCCCTCTAAGGATTGCATGCATGTGCTTTGGCAGTGTCGCGGTGGACGTGCGTGGACGAGGTGGACGAGCGGCGCGGCATGGCGCCCAAGGCGGGGACCTCGTGGACGTGGCCCGACGTGCTGGACGGCCTCAAGACTGTAAGCCAAATGAAAATGGGTGTTCTCGATGGGAAAATGACAAGTCAAGTCACCAGGAAGTCGAGCGCCGGCCGGGGAGCGCCTGCGAACCGCCGGGTGGGCAGCGCCGCAACACACGCGAGTCTGCAGGAGGGCATTGCCTACCTCGCAGGCGTCCGGTCATCTCACAGGGGTTGACAGTTGCTGGTTTCTTGTTGTTGTTTTGTTGTTGTTTTGTTGTTGTTGTTGTTGTTGTCTTGGTCGCTGTTTGGCGGTGTGCATGCGCCACGTGTCGGCGAAACTGATGATATGCGCGCGTTGTTCCAGTCGGCATGCTGGGCATGTCGCGATGGGAGGCGAGAAGGACAGGACGAGGAGTGAGAGAGCGAGAGAGCGCCGTCACAACAAAGGCGTATTTAGTCAGTGGAGACTCGGCGGGGCCGGGGGCGCGTCGAGGGCGACGGTGACGCGGGCCCCGGCGGCGGACCGCGCCCAAAAACAGGCACGCCGCCATCGCTTGATGGTTGTTGGTTGGTTGGTTTACGACGTTGCTCTAGTCATTACGCTGCTGGAATGGGTCCTGCTGTTTTCCGAGTGCGCCCTCACCTGTGTCTCGCTTTTCCGGTGAAGCCGCACTTTTCTTCGTGTTCGTGCTGGAGGTCGGCGACGCTCTCATCGGGCCGCGCGACGCCACGGCGACGCGAAGCCACGCCGTGGTGCTTTCTCCCGGACCCGGACGGGCCGACGACGGGGGCCTCGCGAGGCCAGTGGCGTGGCGACACCGACGACGCCCCCGCAGCCCCGCAGCGGCCGAAGCGTCTCCGATTGCCAATGCCCCGCGTCCCCGTCCCCACAAGGCAAGGTGTTCCCGGGGGACACCGTCTCGCAGTGGGCCAGAAGACCGGCGCCGGCGGCCGAAACTCTTAACGCGTTTTGAGCTCCAGAGTCGCTAAACAGGAGTCGGACCGAACGTGTGACCCCACCAATGGATTCCTCGTTCGGAGAGCAATCCATTAGTGGGGTCACACGTTCGGCTGAGTCCCACTAAGCGACTCTGGATCTCTAGGAATGGGACCGCCTCCACCGGTCTTCTAGCCCACTGTGCGCCCACCGCTAGCGGCTGCCAGCGGCTGCCGCCGGTCAGGCGGCAACCCAACCTGCAGCGCGGTCAGGGCGCGGGGTATCGCCGTCGTGTAGTGCCGCCGGTGGCATGGCGCCCGGAGCCCGCAGGAAGGAAGGTGCGCGTTCAGGTCTCTGGAGCGCGGGGTATCGCCTGGCGCGTTATCGGCCCGTTATCGGCCCGTTATCGGCCCGTTATCGGCTCATCGGCGGCCGCGAAGCGCGAGGCGCGACTTTAAGGCCACGAGGCAATGCGGCGATGCAGCGATGCGGCGAGATTACCGGGAGCGTGCCCGACCCCGCCCTGCTGACCCTTATCCCTGACACAGTTCCGCCGCGCCGCCGCATCGACGTGAACGTAAACACACACAGACACACACGCACAGGCGCTCTTGGTTATTCTCCGTATCGTCGCGTCGTCCAATTCTTCCTTCATTATTTTTTTCGCCGGCCAGCATCCCCGGCGGGGCGGTGCTTATAAAAGCGAAAGTGTCGCTCGCCGGCCGGTTTGTAGTGCTGGGCTCTCTCGGCCGCGTTGCACGGCGAGCGCAGGCAGAGCAGGCAGAGCCATGTCGGGGTGCTTGGTGTTGAAGCGCGACGGCCCGGAGGCCATGGGCGCCGTGGGCCTGGAGGTGCTGCAGCGGGCCACCCAGCCCGTCGGCAAGCGGGGTGGCTCCGACGCGTCTGGCTACGGCCCCATCGACGCCCACCTCGTAAGTCGCGTCCACGCTCCACTGGAAAACTAGGACAACGCAAATTCATAATGCCGCCGCGGAACCTCGCAGGAGCTGCCTCTGGGGCAGCGGTTAGGTTGCCGGTGCCGCACAGTGGGCCAGAAGACCGGTGGAGGCGGTCATAGTCCCGGACGTGTTTTAAGCTCCAGCGTCGCTAAATGGGACCCGAACTGAACGTTTGACCCCTACCAATGATCTGCTCTCCGAAAGAGGAATCCATTGGTGGGGTCACACGCTCGTTTCGAGGCCTGTTTAGCGACTCTGGAGCTCAAAACGCGCCCAGAGTTTTGGCCGCCTGCGCCGGTCTTCCGACCCACTGTGTGCCGTGTGAGGACGGTCCTTCCTGGTTCGTCGGCCAGGACGTGTAATTTGACGTCCTCGCGGTCGTTTTCCTCCATTTCGCTCAGACTTGACGTTGGCTTCGACTGGCCCTCATTAAATAAATTTGCCGAAAAGAAATCCGCGTCGCGTGCATGCGCCTCGAGATAGAAACAACTAGATAATTGGCGCGTTGATAATATGGTATCGCTGTGACCGCGCGTCACAGTCGTGGGGTGTTTGTTATTTCTAGGCCCAGCTATTCCTAGAGAGATTGTCCTTGGGCGAGTTTCTTTAGAGGGTCTGCGGCTTGCAGTTGCGTTTTTGTCTTCGGTCCCTCTTCCCTCTTTGTCTTGCGATGGCCGGCCGGGACAGAGTGCGAGAGAGACGGCGTGAGGCATAGCGCTCAGTGCAGCGGTGCGTTTTCGAAGCAGGCCTTGCAGGCGAGGGAAGGACAAGGCCAAGCGGCCGCGCTGTAAATAACGACTGTCCGTCTCATCTTCCGCGTGTAACGGTGTGGTCTCGTCTCTCTCGCACTCTGGCCTCCCTCCCTGAGAGCCGCAATGCCATTTTATAGCACTTTTTTGGCAAATTTTCATTTTTTTGTCGCGTGTTTATTTTTTAAAAAATTATTTTGTATTTTTTTAAATTTTTATTTGCCTTAATATATGCTTAAGGACACAAAACCGCGGCCGGGACGGAATTTTGAAAATGTGACGTCCGGTTCGTTCTGCTCGAAACCATTGCGCGCCGACTGTACATTACTGTTCCGCGTAGCGAGTCACCTTTAGCGCTCATGAACGTCCCCGGCTGACGACCTGTCGGGGACGTAATTTTTTTTACCTTCTCCGAAAGTACGTACGTTTTTACCTTCCCCGAAGGCCGAAAGTACCTGGCACCTTTTAGGATGCGCGTTCCGGGACGTAGGTCGTCGTGTACGCGGGGGCAACGGCGGCGTACGGAGAGAGAGAGAGAGAGAGAGAGAGAGAGAGAGAGAGAGAGAGAGAGAGAGAGAGAGAGAGAGAGAGAGAGAGAGAGAGAGAGAGAGAGAGAGCCTGAGGCGACGACGCGCCGGGTCCGCCGGGTCGCACGGGGGACTCGTCACCAGATGAGTCACGCACGCGGCTGCAATCGGAAAAGGAGGGGGAGGGGGGAGGGAAGTGCCAAAAGCGCGCCCATTGTGTCTCCAGTGTATCAACTACCGGTGTGCACCACTACTGCACTATCGCGTCGCGACGCCCGGACCGCGTGGAGAAAATACACGCCCCATCTTCGAGCTGTGCTTTGGAGCACAACATTTCGGATCACAGATAAAACGGCACGCCATCCGCGCTCACGTTACTTGCTGTTGTTGTTGTTGTCGCCTCTGCTGCAGTGTCGGTATTGTCGGAGGTCCGTGGGGGGGGGGGGGGTTACGAAGACATTTCTGTTTATATGTGTGTGCTTTTTATTTTGCAACGTAGATGTGATTCTGTTCGTTTGGTACATCTGGAGTGAGGAGTGAGGTGACGAACGCACTCACACGCACGCACGCACGCACACGCGCGCGCGCGGCTGTCGGCGCGAGAGGGTGGCACAATGAAGTGCTCTGGTTATGCTGCGACGACGCCGACGACGCTGCAATGTGTTACGTCGTTACGGCGCCGTAGGGCGGAGCAGGGCGAAGGCTTGGCGGGCGTCTCGGCGGGGCGTGGCGGGGCGGGCGGGGTGGGGCCTCCACGCCGCCGCCGCCGCCGCCGCGGTTCTGCCCCAAGCCCCGCCAGGCCCCGCCAGGCCCTTCGACCGCAACACACCGGCGGGGCTCGCCGCGGCTGGCCACGGCACGGCCTGGTGGAGTGAGTGGAGTGTGCCGTGAGTGAGTGAGCAGTGCCGCGGCTTTGGCTGGCTTCGGCTGGCTTCCCTGGCTTGGCTCGGCCGCGTCGTGCCGGCCTGCCCCTGGCCTGCCTGGTGCCTGGCCGTCGTGCTCTGCTGGTGCTGGCTGGTGCTGCGTTGCGCTCCACTCCAAGCCGCCGCTCCGCTCCGCTCCGCCAGCCAGTTGTTGCTCCGCGTCCTCCGGTCCAGGCGCGTCCGCTGTGCTCTCCTCTCCAGCCTCGCTTCGCGTCGCGTCTCCGCTCCCCGGCTGCGGATCAGCTGTTGGCTGCCGTCCAGTGGCGCCGCGACAGCGCGCGCGCGTGTGTGTGTGATTGTGTGCGTGCCTGAGTGCGTCCTCCACGATGGGTGTTAGTAACCGGTGGTGCACGTCCATCTCCCCCGACGAGGCGGAGAGTCTGTTCCTGCAGATGGGCGAGTTCGTCCTGCGCTTCGAGAGCGAGGAGTTCGGCGACGAGTACGAGGAGCGCGCGCGGCTGGAGCTGCGAGAGACGCCCGAGCAGAAGAAGGAGGCCGTCGCCAAGCTGCGGGAGCTGCTCAAAGGTGAGTACGGACGGCCAGCGCGGACTCATTCCGAGAGTCGTTTTCGTCGCTCTGTCTCTCCAGCACTCACGGGGCGTCCCGTACAGGTGCGAGGGAGACAGAGCGGCGAAGACGACCCTCGGAATCAGCCTGCCAGGTGTGCGAATCGTGTCAATGGGCATCCCGGCCGAGTGGCAGAAGGTCCTTCCTGGAGGCGCCTAGCGCACGCGATGTCCATGTTCACGCTCCATTGTTTGTTTTGGAACTCTGCGCGACCAGGAGGGAAACCTGCTCCCTTAACATATCCCCCAGAGCTTTCGGCTTTCTCTGCGTCCCGCATCGGCTGCACCAGGCTGCACCACGATGACCGCCCGCTTTGTGGACGTCGCTCCGTCTCTCTCGCACTCGTGGGGCCCACGGCAGAAGTGCGAGAGAGACGCAGCGACGGGGGCACTGCTCGGAATCAGTCTGTTAGTGGACGGGCTGGCGGCCTCGTCTGCGCGGCTGCGCGCTCGCTGCTATGCTTGTTGACCCCGGCCGACCCTCCGGGAGGGTTGCCGAGGTGGCCCCCCGCCCCCTTGCCCGCCCCCGCCCCGCCCCGCATGGCGCCGCCCGCGCACCTGCGGCCCGGCGTTGTCGTTGTCAATCGGAGGAGACACAGACAGGCCTACTTTCCCAGCACACCGATTCCGAGAGGCGTTGTCGTCGCTCTGCCTCTCTCGCACTCGCGGGGCGTCCTGTATAGGTGCGAGAGAGGCAAAGCGACCAAGAACGACTCTCGGACTCAGTCTGCTGCCGGCAAGCCACGGCAAGCCACGGCGTTAGATTGCGGTTCCCACAGTGTGGCAGTGAGTGTCGTCCGCCAGGCCGGGTCAAAATGATTCCCTTTGCCGCCGGCCGGGCTAAACGCGGCTAAACGAGCTGCAAATGGCTGCGGATGGCCGCGGTGCGTCGAGGCGTTATGCGAGTTGTCGGAACCCTTTGATCGCGCTGCTCGGCGTTGCTGGTTTCCTGGTTCGCGGCGTTCGCGCTGCATGCTGCACCGAGACCGCGGCGCCGCGGCACCGCCTCGCTTTCTCGTAATTGTAGAGCGGGGTCCTGGGGGTCCTGGGGGTCCTGCAGGAAACCGCAGCCAAGCGCCGCCGGCACCAAGAAGGCCTACTTCGTCTTGGTCGCGTCGCTGCCGCCACGTGCCGTCGCGAGGGTCAACGCGTCGCGCCGCGGCTTTGGCAGGCCGCCGTTGCAGCCGTCTGTCTCTCTCGCACCCCTAGGGCACGCCGTGAGTGCGAGAGAGACAGACAGTCGCTGCCCTGTCGCCCTTGAGAGGCACGCTGCATCGTCCCGCCGTTCTGACAGCACGTTGACGCCTAGCCTGCCGAGGGATTCAGAAGATCGCTTTGTCGCTGTCTCTCTCGCACCCTTACGGCACGCCCCATGAGTGCGAGAGAGACGACTCTGCTGGCCTGTCACGTGACTCCGATCCCCTGGAAAACAAAGTAAAGGGAAAGACAGGTGCCTTCGGGCGGTGCCGTCTTACGCAACCCAGGCCGCCGGGCAGGCCTCCAGGATGTGCAGCTGTCACTCAAGCTCGTGGGCGGAGGGCCACGCCGGCGACGGGCCGGGAATGCGGCTCTTGCGGTGTGCCGGACTGATTTCCAAGGCGGATAGATAGGTAGATAGAGGGAGAAGACAAGCAGACTGATTCCGAGAGTCGTTTTCGTCGCTCTGTCTCTCTCGCATCTTGGCGCCTCGTGAAGATGCGAGAGCGACAGAGCGACGAAAATGACTCTCGGAATCAGCCTGCAGGGTGACAGCTCGTGTTTACCTCGTGCTGGCGACGATGCATGCCGCACTACTCGAGATTGAGATTACCGCCGGCTGCAGTGGTCGCTCTGTCTCTCTCTCGCGCCCCAACGGGACGCACCATGAGTGCGACAGAGACGGGGTGACAAAAGGACCTTAGGTCGCCGTGTTGGTTGACCCTGACGCATCGTCGGGAAGTGCATCACGGCCTGCAGCGCCTGCAGCCAGGCCGTCGCTCCGTCTCTCTCGCACTTGTCCCGGAGCAGGGTGCGAGAGAGACGGAGCGACAGGGCTTTCTTCGGAAGCGGCCTGCTGAGTGCAGATGCCCGAGACTCCGGCCCACTGTGCGGTATCAGTGTCGCGACGCGTTGTGAGTGGGCTCAGCCAGGCCCAGCCAGGCCCAGCGCTGCCGCGGGCAACGCCCCCAGGGATCTAGAGCAGGCTCCACTATCGGCTGGAAATGCAAGGACAGCAACCCGAGCCGCGGCACTGCCAGAAAGAAGACCCACAGCGGAAGCGGAAGCGACGCTGCACAGTGGGTCAGAAGACCGGTGGAGGCGGCCAAAGCTCTGCACGCGTTTTGAGCTCCAGAGCCGCTAAACAGGACTCGAACCGAACGTGTGACCCCACCAATGGATTCCTCCTTCGGAGAGCAATCCATTGGTGGGGTCACTCGTTCGATTCGAGTCCCATTTAGCGACTCTGGAGCTCAAAACGCGCGTAGAAATTTGGCCACCTCTGGCAAATCCACTCCGTGTTCGCTGGGGTGGTTAGCGCGAGCGTCGTGTCGGGGCTTTGTTGGAATTCTTTCGAATTCCCCGCCAGCGGAGCGGAACTTCCCTCCGGCAGCCCGATTCCGAGAGTCGTTTTCGTCGCTCTGTCTCTCTCGCACTCGTGGGGCGTCCCGTGTGGGTGCGAGAGAGACAGAGCGACGAAGACGACTCTGAGTGTGCTGCTAGTTCAAGGCCGCCGGGCTGCGCGCGGCGCCTTTGTCCGCGCTGAATACGTCCTGCTGTAAAAAGCGAGACGTCCTTGGCGCTGCAAACCTGCAGACTTATCTGTCCTCCCGGAATAGGAGGCTCAGGCTCACATAGGTCCATGGGCCTCTCCCCGTCTCTCTCTTGCTGGCCGTGGGGGTTTCGTGTTTTCGCGCGGCCGAAACACTGTGCCGGTGTCCGCCCCGAGCAGTACACTGCCAGGCGGGCCTACTTCGAACCATCGTCACTCTGTCTCTCTCGCACTCGTGGGGGCGTGCCGGCGTGCCGCAGGGGTGCGAGTGAGACAGACGCCACCTGGCGCTAGCTGCTCTACCTAGCCGCCACCGGCGAGACGAGACGGGCTTGTCGCTATCGCTCTGATTATTGACCACCGTTGTGCTTATCTTCGGCCAAACACCGGCCGTGCCGCGTCCGGCTTGGCTGCTGCCGGGCGGCTCGCTCTGTCTCTCTTGCACCTTCATGGAGAGCCCCATGAGAGCGACAGAGACGGAGCGACGAAACGACTCGTCTGCCTGCTGGCGTCGGAGTGCGCGCAGTGGGTCAGAAGACCGGCGGAGGCGGTCAAAATCCCGGACGCGTTTTGAGCTCCAGAGTCGCTAAATGGGACTCGAACAGAACGTGTGACCCCACCAATGGATTGCTCTCCGAACGAGGGATCCATTGGTGGGGTCACACGTTCGGTTTGGGTCCCGTTTAGCGACTCTGGAGCTCAAAACGCGTCGAGAGTTTCGGCTCTTCTGACACACTGCGCTGCGGCCCGGGGAAGCGCCGATGACGGCATGGCACTGCAGCTTCCTCCTCCACGGCCTTCTTCTCCATCTCCATGCCGTCGGCGGCTGGCCCGGCTGGCCCGGCTGGCCGGCTGCGCGCGGGCTGGGTGGGGCGTGGGGCCCGCGTGCCCCTCGCGGCGTCGCGACGCCCCCCCCCCCTTTCTTTCCCAAGTCTGGCTCTGCGCGGTCCCACTCTCACTTTCCAACTGACGCTGCTGCTCTCTTCGGCCGCGCCGCCGCCACGCCCCCTGGAATTTCCTTGCCAGTCATTCATTCGCCGACGCGTTCTCTCATTCGCTGATTAATGCGATTTGGGTCGTTCCTTCGCAGTTTTCATTGGTTCCCTCTCGGAGGTAAAAGGCCTGTCCATTTTGGAACCCTTGTGCAAAGAGACATTTTGCAGTGGAGCCCATCAAGAAATTGATTTTCATTTCCGACTGAGGCACCGCCTCTTTCTCCGTGAATCGAGCGGAGATGCCCGGGGAACGGCTGGGAATGCCCTGGCCGCGGAAACGTGTTCGTAGTGTAGGGACGCGCGCGGCCGGTGGGAGCAGCAGTCGTCCTGGAGTGGAAGTCTGCGGTCCGACCAGTGAACTAGGGTAACTAGTGTAACTAGTCCGGAACCCATGTCGTAATGCACTGAGTGGTACTGCAGGCTGATTCCAAATGGCGATCCCTTCGTCTGTCCGTCTCTCTCGCACCCGTGCGGGCGAGAGGCCTGCTGCGTCTGAGGCAGTCGAGTGCGATCAGGGCCACTTCCGCGCGCAGTCTCTTATGCAGCTGCCTTCCACGCAGGTCGACGTTCTGCTGGGAAGAACTTTTTTTTTTTTGCAGAGAAAATAAATGTGGGATGCCAGAAAGAAGTCAGCGGGGCGGAATATTTTGGCGGTTTGGTGAACTTGGTTTGGCGGTCGGAAACCAGAAAACCAGTTGGCGGCAATTGGGCGGTCAGGTATTTCGGGTGACCTTGCCTCCTGGCACCATGAAGGCCTCGAGTGAAGAGATGCTACGAACTGGGGCACTGCCGCTATGGTTAGTAACTAACCATAGCGGCAGTGCCCCAGTTAACCGTTAGTCTCTTGGCCCTAGTTAGTCTCTTAGCCATGTGAACGTCTGAATTGAAAACAAATAGATGTCGGGCTGAATTTTATTTCAGTCTCGGCAACAGTGTCCCATATTGACCTCTGGAACGACCCGAATAGCGCGTGTACACCAAACCGGATCCCCAACAAATATCGACTTGTTTCTTAGCGTCTGCTCGAGCGGCCGAGTGGCTGTACGTCAATCGCTGCGAGTCCGAGTCGTTGCCCTCTCGTCCTTGACGTCGTTCTGTTCAAATTTACTCAGTGCCATCCTTTTCTGTTCGCAGCCGACCCCGAGCTGGACGTACCCTACGAGGAGGAGAACTTCCTGCTCACCTTCCTGAGGCCCACCCACTTCTACCCGGAGAGCGCTTACACGCGGGTAAGTTTGAAATGAAACTTCGGCTGGCGCAGCTGTCCTTTTTTTTCGCTGTCAAGGTCAATGTCAGTGTCTCCCGCCGTGCTTCTCAACTCGCCCTGGCGTTTGGTTTCGCAGATGCAGAACTTCTTCCGCTTCAAGGTGAAGTACCCCAAGTACTGCTCGGGCCTGATCCCGAGTCGCGAGCGGAACGTGTTCGAGCAGGGCATCCTGACGGTGTTCCCGACCAGGGACCACCTGGGCCGCAGGGTGCTGCTCATCGAGGCCGGAAGTAAGTTTCCCCGCCACACAGTGGATTGGCCCAGAGGACCGGCGCCTCTAGACGCGTTTTGAGCTCCAGAGTCGCTAAACAGGACTCGAACTGAGCTTGACCCCACCAATGGATTCCTCGTTCGGAGAACAATCCATTGGTGGGGTCGTACGCGCGGTTGGAGTTCCATTTAGCGACTCCGGAGCTCAACGCGTGTATAGTTTTGGCCGGACCAGTCTTCTGGACCACTGTGCGTCACCGGAACAGTGTTGGGGAACGGCCTTTTACAACCAGCCTTTGGTGCCTTTGTCTTTGCAGAGAAGTGGAAGCCCAAGCAGTGCACGCTGGATGAGATCTTCAAGGGCGTGATGGTGGTGCTCGAGGCGGCCATCTCGGAGCCGCGGACGCAGGTCTCCGGCGTGCAGGTCATCCTGGACATGGACGGCCTCTCCCTGTCGCACGTGTGGCAGTTCACGCCCGGCTTCGCCAAGGCCGTGGTCGACTGGGTCCAGGTAGGTAGCCGCCTGTGGGGTAGGCCACCCAACGAGCACCTGTGTTTGTGTTAAGGTCTGGTCTAACCATGTCCCTTCCTCATTTTCAGGATTGCATCCCCGTCCGGTTGAAGGGGGTACACATTGTAAACCAACCCTACGTGTTTAACATGGTGTTCGCCATTTTCAAGCCTCTGCTTAATGCTAAACTGCGGAATAGGGTGCGTGGAAAGTTGACGTTGAACACTCTACAGGTTTATAGAATCCCACAACTGATTTCAATTTCTTTGTCTTAGATCCACTTCCATGGCACTGACAGACAGTCTCTGCTAAACCATGTAGATGCAAAATGCTTGACCACAGCTTACGGTGGTGGAGTTGCCATTCCGGACTTCCCAGGGGGAAAACTCTGTGACCTCCTGTCCAACTACGACTCCCATTACGAACGTAAGTCTGGAAACTGATGCTCTGAATAGCGTATAAAGATTTTGTCCAAATAATTTTTCTTTACGAAACTTTTGTTTTGTTGCAGTGCGTGCTCAAAACGGTTACACTACAAAAAAGTAGACGAGTCTGTTCAAATGGTGTGGATATGTTACGAGAGCTCAACCATAACTGGTAAAATCCCATTCCCTGTAAGATATTCTGGCATCAAAGGCTACTAGAAACACCGATCATGCTCTCTAAATGATTTGTACAGGTTGGTTTAGTAGGCTTCAGGCACAATGTGCCAAATGTTTTGAATTTGGTTCAATCCATGTATTTGTAGAATATATTTTAATTATAAAATCATTATAATTTAATATTGAGTGTACTCGATGATTTGTTTTATATTATTCTGTTGGGACATGTGTCAAGTCCAACAAGATTTTAAATATGTGGCTGTGATTGAGAACAAATAAGTGTGGACTAGGGGAGGTAGCCTCACTGCAAGTGCTTGATTTTGCTTGATCATTCAGCAAGATGGGGAAAGTATTTAGAGTTTCAAAGTATGTAAACTTTTCTCTGCAGTTTTGATTAATGTAATGCACTTGCTATCAGTGGTTATATTATTTTTATAAGAATTTATTTTTGTTTATGTCTACAATCTCTTTTGTGCTTCCTTATTCTCCTAAATCGGAAGAGACTTCATGTGTACCATGAAAGCAAAAGCAACACTGTATTTTACAAGAATAAATTTTATCTGTATCTGATGACTTTTACCCACTGTCCAATTTTCTTCAACATCTGTGCCAAAGTTGTGTCCAAAATATGATATGTTGAAAAGATTAAAAATGTGAACTGAATGGAAATATCCTAGCAAATCAAGTTTTTCTAAATATGGGTTGCATAGAAATCAGGCAAATGCAGTATTATTTACAAATTTATTAACAGGTCAAGCACAATTGATTTCATCTTAATCTTTCATCGTCATGAAGTACATAAAAAACTCGGTGTACAATAAACTTAAAAATATAAAATCTACAAAACCTTACGTATTTAAAAAAAAGGATCAATACATTTACCAGCAAATGGGTTGCAAAAGCAACAATATACAATAAAACTCATTTTAATTTCACAATACTTTTCTGCTTCGGTTTAACTTTTTAGGGATCCTAGGCCGTTGGAAGACAGCATGCGACCGGAGATCACAAAGGGACGACGCCTTCTGAAGTACATTAGTCTCTAAAGGCTTCCTTTTGATGATTGTTACTTCAGAGTCAGAGGCGTTGCAGTCCTCAACATCTTGCAGACTCTGTGTAGAAAGCAGTGGTTTCTGTGGACATAAAAAAACAGCAGGTAGCAGCAGGAAGGTCACACAGGAGTAACAGGAAACCAGAAATTTGAACATTAATCGGGATAAGAACAACATACCCTGGGACTACGCATATGTTTGGTCCATGCTGCTTTCTGAATTCTTGGATTGATTTTACGAGTAATAGGGGATGGCAAGCCAGTGGGTTCAGGAATAGGACCATAAGATTTTCTGATGGGAGTTCGGCCTGAAGCAAACATGACAAGACAAAACGTAAATTGGTTTGTAGAGAAAAAATGGAAGAATCTCAATCTTATTAGAAGGTAATGACTTACCAGTGGGCACATCATGTTTAATCTCTTCAGACAACAGCTGGTTCACAACAGACTTGCCGTTTTCAAGCTGCTCTAAGATCTCAGAACTTGCTGATTGAGCACCTTTTAGGAACATACCAAGAACTTCATTTCCTTTTACTACATAGTCATGGTTTATATTTTCGAGCCCCTTGAATTCCAAGGACAAATTGTGATCCAGCTGCTCAGTCTCTTGGGCCACGTCCTGTACGAGATAAAATGGTAAAATTATATGAAGCCACAAACCTAAAGAAGTTCTTACATACTATCCAGTCAATCAACTAACCTTCCAACCAACGAGTGGTTTGTTGATATATTGAAGGCATTCAGATCTACTGTCCATAATCTCTGACACTGCTTCTTTCCATGGGGTAAGATGGTCACATGAAAGAAGTTTAGTTATTTCTTCCTCAGCTTTCTCCACAGTCTCCACACTCTTGGAAACAGTGTTGTTCATCTAAAGTTAAACAAAATTCAGGCAAATGTAAGTACAAATCCACCACAAATGGTATTTTTATCATTTAATTGATATTTTATACTGACAGAGGTGGCAAAGTCTTGGTATCCCTGGAGTAGTGGTTTATTGCTATCACGGAACACAGCATCCATGTTCTTACAGTTAGTTGCAACATCATTTTGCTGCTGTTGAAGAAATTCTACTGCAGCACTTGAATGCTCCAAAACAAGACTTGTTTTTCTTGCAATTTCTTCTTTACACTTTAACAAGTCCACCTTGTGAGCTGTAGTTTCTTCATGCTCTTCCAGGCAAATTGAACGAATTCTGTTCACCCTTTCTATCATTGACTAATTTTGTTAAAAAATAACATTGATTAATATCAGTGTACACAAGACAATTGAAAAAACAAAAAAAAAAAATCTGCAACACAAATTGTTACGTATTTATATTGTCAACACTTACCTCAACCCTATTAGTAATTTTGCTTATGGGCTTTTTTTGTGAGGCCAGCAGGTTATTCATCAACTTGCAAACAGTTTCAATGTTTGAATCAGTCTCCAGACAAATTTTATCAAAATGCTCTGCCATTTCAGTTACTTGGCTCTTTGACACCTCTTTCAATTTGAGAACCTGCATTTAAAAATTGTACTTTTGATACAGAGCAGAACAATAGTGCACATAAAAACGGGTGCCATTAGGAGCTACTTACACTTTCATTCAGAAAATCCACACAAGATGAGGTTTGGCTCGGAAGATTTGAGATCAAGTTCTTAAAGTCATCACAAACAGCTCGGAGTATTTTCTCAGTACTTTCCACAGTTTTAACCAGATTAAGATACAACCTGACTAGATCTTCATTGGACTTTTGATTGCTTCTGTTCTGAATTTCTTTCTACAAGGAATGAAGGGGATGGTGAATAGTTTCCAAGATATAGCATTAATTACACATGACACCCTACTTACCGCTTTGTCTAAATGATGGTTTAATTCCTTGGTAGTCTCCCTGGTCTTATCCTTATACTTCTGAATAGAGTCTCTCACCACGGCAAGTTGACTCCTGTATGTTACTGGAAGAGAGTCTAACACAAGGCAAAAACAGGTAAGAAATAATTCATAGTGGGAAGCAAAAAACCAATTTATATGTTTCACTGTAACAACACTACCAACCTATGGCATTCTCAAGTTCTTCCAGCTTTGATGAATTTGCGACGATGGAGGACCACAATCGTAGAGTAGCCATTCGGTGAAAATTGCCTCTTTCCCTTATTTTCTTCAAGACTGCCTCATTTTCCACCAAAACAACCCTGAAAAAATCCAAACAGGCAATTTATTTAAGAGGATCAAGCAATGTCTATGGTCCTTAAATTACAGTATATACTCACCGTGAAAATTCTAATTTATCATGGATCTTACAGCTATCTGATTGAGTTACATCAACGACATTTGTGAGCTGCTCAGCCTGCCTCAGCAGTTCATTCTCTTTGTCTACTAGGTTGCCAAGCAGGTTCTCTGCTTCATCTTTTTCACACTTAACTTTTGTAAGGGTTTGACTGGCAAAACCAATTTCTTCAGTGTTTTGAGCAATGGCATTGTCCACATGTTCTAAATTTTTCAGTTCATTCTCATGCATTTTAGTGAAAGCAAGGTAGGTTTCCTGCCAGACAAACAAACCAGACATCAAGCAGCCTGCTTTGGAGTATCAAATTACAGGGATAAACATCAATTTTTCAAAAACATTAAAACACATACCTCAGTTGTTTTTTTCAGTAGACCCACAGAACGAATTTTAGAAATCAAGTCAGTTATCTCCTTATTTTTTTCTTGAGTCTGAGCAACGATCTGCTTGTAGTTTTCATCATTCACATAAACACCAGATCCATTCCGCGTCAATTCAAGTTTCTTTTTCAGATCCTGAATGACATCCATGTATTCCTAGGTAGGAGCAAAAACCTCATGAAGAACCAACACAAACTAACTTTTTAAAATATCTAGAAAAAGGTGATATATGGCAGATGAAAAATAATACTTCTGCAATGTACCTTCATTACAACAGTTTGAGATATTTTTTGGTTCACTTCGGGTCTGTTGGCTACACTCTTTGCTCTATGAGCATAATCAAGAGTGCTCAAAGTCTCTTCAGCATTGGAGGAAGCAGGGGAGATAGTAGCTATCAAAGACGCCTTGGTACGTCCACCCAATGAGTCCTGAAGGAGTCTTGTCAACTTTGACTCGCGATACGGGACGTGAGGCTGATGCTCCACCAAGCACGCAGTAACCCTACTCAGAGTTAGCAATGACTGGTTGATGCTAGCAGCTTCACGTGCTCGTTTGTCGAGGGAACCTGATCTTCCAATATTTTCACTTCCAGCCAAATCAACAAGGTTGAGTTTTCCTGTCTTCAGAAGTTCCTCTCCATCAACTGGGTTTTCTTTAGAATGAACAGTGACACAAAATATTGTGTGAGACCGACTGTAAGTAAATTTTAAAATATTATCACATTAACATGTGGGTGAAATATATGGCGAGTAAAAGTTAGATATATGGAAACCACACCTTGATTGAGCATTCATCAGAGTCGCAGCAACCTGCCTTTTAGCAGAGCCTTTGCGAAGTTCATCAAGAACTTGTGACTGATTGTGTACCATCACCTCTTGCAAACCTTGAATGATGACGGAACCTTTCTTAGCAACGTCATCGAACAGTCTGAAACAATTAGATGTACATGAAACATGATTTACAATAATTTTTAAAATGAGAGAATGGTTTAAGTGTCATTTATTTGGTGTGACAAACCTGAGTTTCGGTGGGACTTCATCAGGAGAAAGGAGATCATACAGCTCTTCATTGTAAAGCTCCAACAAAGAAATACGGACAGTGTATTCCACTTGAAGGACTCTTAACTCATCAAAGAGAGCACATACAGCCCTTGGAATCAAACCTGCCCTTGAGTCCTAAATCAAAGAAATAAGATGAGTGTAATACTATGCTGGCTGACCAATAAGTAGTTTAATAGAATCAATCCCTGAAACTCACTGCAGCAAACATTTTATCTGAGCCAATATCTCCCTCCATGGTGAATGTTTTTCCACTACCAGTTTGGCCATAAGCAAACACAGTACAATTGAATCCATTTAGAACATCTTTGATGAGAGGATCAACAACAGCCTGATAGACATCAGTCTAAAAACCGTAAAAGAGTACCAAGTTAGTACGTGCAAAGGTGATGGATCAATGAATTAAAACTAGAACCTTTATACCTGGGTAGCAGAGGGCTCAAAAACTTTATCGAAGGAGAAAGTTTTGGTAATTTTGGAATTGCATCGGTCTTGAACAGATATGTCTTTCTGTCCCTGAATGTCAACTGACGAGTTATAACGTTGATTAACTTCATTGTCATTTGGAGGCCTGCAATGAGGAGAAGAAATCTTGATTGTATTACAAGAACTTAGTCAAATGCAGTGAACAAATGCACCAAAACAAACTGTCTAACCTGCACCGCACAAACACCTGCATGTACTGGTTCTTCTGCACTTTGGCAGGACCTTTGGGTTTCTTTGCAGACATGTTGAGATTAAGAAATGAGAGTCCGAAACTGAGAATGGACAAAGACAACGAAAATGAGCATGCAGTGTAAACGGCTAGGCGCAACGCACAACACTAGATGATAAAACACAATTTGAAATTTCTAGCCGTAGACGTTCCAACCGCTCCAAAACTGAAGTTTTATTTCATATGCCGTTCTTCGTTTGTCATTCACTGCCGCCTTCAGTTTAACGGTTGCCTGCGGCAGCACCAACCAAACATATAAAACAAGTGGAGGTGTCAGTAATTGAGGAGACAACTTACTTCGACAAGCGAATCATCTTAAAAAACCTTAAAAAAATTTCTGTGAGAGAAATAATCAAAGAACTGTTGCAATTATAAAGTTTTCCAGCAGCGGCATTTGTGTTGGTATGTTGGTGCACATGTGGTAAGATAAACGTAGTCTTTCTGCTTCTAGCTGTGAACTGAAATTCGTGTTTACGTCGCGATAGCCTCATTTCTATTTTCTGATTTACGCAGGGATAATAGACTGCTCAGAGCATTTAAATTGGAAAGAGTGGCCCATGGTTCCACAATGTGTCACGGTCTGGCGACCTAGCCGCTATTGAGTGGATAATATGATGATGTGTGACACTTACTCTCCACTGAGTCCGGATATGGGGTTGAAGGCTTCAAAATCGGAAAAAAGTTACGGTTTTCGCCCTTTTGAGTTTCGTTTGTGTGTTGATGACGACGTCAGCAACGGGCCGGTGCCAAAGCCGCGCAGTGGACATCGCGTCGTGTGTGACTCGGCAAACCTGTATTCTTTTGGAGGTTATAATCCGTACATATCGGACTCGGACGAAGACTTGAAAGATGACCCGGCCTGGCAAGACTGCAAGCCTCTCTTCCAAGAGCTGTGGCGATTTAATTTCGCCACCTGCAAATGGCGGAAGCTCCCCTGCCACTCGTCCATGCCCAGAGAATTGGCATCTAATGCTGTTATCCTAGACGGTGGAATATTGCTAGTGTATGGTGGCACTGGAGTACCTTTTGGTTTCAAGTGCAGCAACAGTCTTTATCTTTGTGACATAATCAGAGGTACGGAGATGAAACCAATTACTCCTGTTAAAGGCCAAGAACCTTCATCACAATATGGGCAGGCCTTGGTGCTCCATGGTCAATGGCTATATACAATGGGTGGAACAACTGGCTTTGTGTACAACTCTGATGTTCACCGTTTTAATCTACGCACATCAGTGTGGGAAGAAGTGTACATCTGCAAGGGCCTCAGTCGACATGAACCTGAGGGTCGCTATAGACATGAACTAGCATTTGATGGCCAGAAAATTTATGTATTAGGAGGTGGCACAGCTACCGATTCTTTTGGCTTTCAAGTAAGTTACCTTTGGTTGTTCGTGTTACCATAAATACCACCTGATGATATTATTTATATTTGAATATGTTTTTGTTGTTTTTGTAGGACATACCAGCTCTTAATTTGGAGACTAACAGCTGGGAGACCATCCGGACTAAGCCAGATGAGCGCCTGAGCGACTTCGGCTTCCCTGCTCCTCGACGTTGCCATGGATGTGTACAGCTCCCGCCTGAATTCAACACTAAAAAAGGCTCTGTGATAATTAGTGGGGGCTACAATGGCTCTACAATGTACGGAGATGTGTGGCGCTTGGACCTTAACGACATGCAGTGGCACTTCATGACAAGATGTGTCCTACCCAGGCCAGTGTATTTTCACTCGGCTGCAGTTACTCCAGCAGGAAGAATGTTCACGTTTGGCGGCATTCTGGAGAATGGAATTCGAACCAATGAGGTGTGTGCTGCTTGGGTTCGAATTCCAAAGCTCTCAGAGATTTCTTGGGAAGCTGTTCTTTACTATAGCCCCAGAATAGCTAGTGAACCCCGACACAAACTTATTAACATGGGGTTCCCAAAGGAATTTGTTGATAGGCTGGATTATTAAATATATATGTTTTGAGTCAATCTTTTCGTGATTGTTGTGATGTGAGTCAAGAGGAGGAGATGAAATTTTAATAAGTTAATGAACAATAATTTAGCTTGATACAGTATAATATCTTTTTTGCTTTATTGGCGGCATCATCATGGTATAAATCACCATCTCTTCCAAATTTTTGATTATTTGCAACAAACAACATTTTCAAATGACATCAAAACACTGGTAACATTTTATCATTCTTTTCTTGCCCTTTGAAAATGATTTTCCTTGAAATTTGAGCTTTAATTTAAAAAAAAAAAAGTTCAATTTGTGCAAACTTAGTGTTCCTCTGCACTATCCTCAGTGAAATGCCTTAAACGGTTTCAGTCAAATGGTTGATGCATGCTTAAAAGTTTGGAAAATTGTTTGTGATAGACGGACAGATCAGTATCTACGTCATTTTGCTCATATCACTGCTGTGCTGAGCCTGTTTGGAAAATTGTTTGTGATCTAGAGACAGTTCAGTACCAACTTCCCATTGCTCATGTCATTGTCATTGCTGTACAGAGGTGAGGGTGTCCTTCTTATGCCCTTCCCGGGCGCCCAGACCTGGCCCGGCCCGGCGGCAGGCATGATCGGTGCGGCTCGGGGGCCTTGGCCGGGCCTTGGCCTTGGAGCGGCCGGGGTTGACGGCCGGGCCGACGGCAGCCTGAAGTGGGCCAGGCCAGGCCAGGGCATGGCCAGGCCTGGAGCTGCTCCACTCCACTCCGCGCCGGTACCGGTCGCGCCTGTCCCGCCTGTCGCCGGGCTATCATCTCTCTCTCTCTCTCACACACGCAGATGAATCCTTCCATTTTCTCAGATTTCGAGGCCATAGAACTCTGCTTTCCCTTGTGCATTGTGTGTTTTTAGAGACAGGATGTTTCATGTTGTACTGTCGGAGAAAATTGAATGTGGCGAACGCATGTGAAAATGTAGTGTTTTTGACGCGTTCTTCTAGATTGGACCTGTTGTTTTTTTGGGTTTTTTTTTAACAAGTTCATGCTGTGCAGGTAATTTTTCTCTATTTCAAAAACGGTTGTTTGTGTTTCAATGTCATGTGCAGAAACTCATTTAAGACCCAGAAGTGTTGCCATTACCATGTCACCAATAAAATCATGAATGAACCTGGAGGCCTGAGAGTAAAGACAAATGCTGTAAGAATTGAATCTGCAATAACCCTTATTAACACATTGTAAATAAAACAAGAAGATTGATTTATTGTGCCAACCTAAATATTAGGAAAGTAACAATTACATGACAGTTAATGTTAGAAAGGATAAAAGGCCATTGGATTGCAAATCTACCTGATAAAATACCGTATTTTGTAACAAGTTTTTCTAAACCAATACTACTTTTTGAAAATCTCTGATAAGATCTACTTGTCTTTTTCTAACTTGCATAGTTTATCAAGGCCCAAAAGCAGGTTTAATTCCAAAAAATTGTTTGATATTGTTAAGTTTTGTGATCCTTGTTATAATAATATCAGCTTGTGCTAGTTGTATCTTGTCAATTTATTTTATTCAGTAATTTATCATCACTTTTAAGCCCAGAAGATCTGACATCTCAAAGAAGAAATTCTCAGTTCTTATTTGTCCTGTACAATTTATTTTTTCAGTGCCACATCATATATACCAACCTCTGTAGGCGACTCAAAAGTCTAGTTACACTTTTGTACTTTGTATTTTGCACTTCAACACTGATTATTGAATCTAATCACCATGTATTGTAATGAATTGAAAATTCAACACTGTGATGACACTGTCATTCAAGAGAAAATGTGGAGCTTTCTTACTCCTGGATTAGTCTCAGAGAACTACCTGCTCTGATGTTGCTTGAATGATGGTTTACTTTTTATAAGACTTTAATTAATTTTTGACATTTGCAGCTTTACAGTACCGTTGTATATATTTTTGTTTTTACATGGGTTCCTAGCCAATATTTTGCAAACATTTTTGTTTGATCAGATCTGTAAGATGTCAGTCATGGATTGCCTTTTTTTTAGGATATTTTTCAACTTTTGTTTTTTTTTTCTACACTTTACCAAAAATTGTAGGGTTTATCAGTGTTACTGTTATTTGTCGGGATATTTTTTTCTGGGGTTTGTATATTTGGAATAAATGTGATTAGTTTTAAAAGACAACTTTGTAATATATATTGTGGATTATCAATAAAATTTGAAAAAGATCGACATGGTTTGCATATTATGTTAGCAGTAATGTCAGATGCATCCAGGGCGACATGGTGGTCACTGCGATGGTGTTTTGTTGGTGTGAGATAACATCTTGTATTGTGAGTGTTGTTTATAATTTTATTACCTCTGAAAAGTGGAAAGACCTTGTGTAAACTTTCAAATCTATTAAATTATCAAATTGAAATGCTACAAATGTCTCCTAATTTTGCTAACCTACTCCTACTACTAACGTATATGCTTTTGTAGGGTGATTTGATTGAAAGTCTTCTGAGCATCATAGCAATGACAGCTAATCTAGAATGACAGTCATCCCTTTGGAATGAAGCATGAATAATTTTAACAAAACAGCTACTATAGCAGCAGTCAAAGATCGATTAAAATGCTTTTTAAAACCTAGGGTATTTAATTCTACAACATGTCTTAAAGCTTCTGAGATCATGAATACACGCACTTGAGTACACATTCACAGTTCACAATGAAAAACTATCAAGCATTTTTGGCACTTAAAAACAAAGAAACACGCTGCACGGCGCCTTAACTTAATGCCTTAATGCTTGGCCATTTTATCTGGGTAAGTACACCCCACCCCAACAAGAGGTGGGACTGTTCCAGAAGGCTAACTCCAGAGACCGTCGTAACCAATCGTTGGCATTTCCAGAGATCATTGAAAGGTTGTCCACAGAAGTCCAGGACCCTGGTCACGACGAGTGTCCAAGCACCGCACTGTCCTTGCGAGAGAAGCGCGTGGGTCGACGGGGGGCAGGAGCACGACGGAGCATCTGGGTGGGCGGGGCTGGCGGGGGGGACTCTAGGCAGTCTCGCCCCGCTAGTCTCCCTCCGCGCGGAGGGGCCCAGCCTCGGGCTCAGCTTGTGTCCAGCTCCAGGTCCAGCGGCTCAGTGCTGGCGGAGGAGGCCTTGCCGTTCACGTCCTCCATCCAGGCGCAGCCCGAGCCCAGGCTGGAGTTGAAGAAGAACTCCCCGACGGCGCGCAGCGGGGACAGGCGAGGCTTCGGCGAGCGCGGAGACTGCTGGGGGTGGTCCAACAGGTCCAGCTGCTGCGGCGGCTTGGCCGAGGGCTTGGCCTCCCCGACGTCGGCGTCAGAGTCCGAGCCGCAGTCGGACGCCGACCGGGACGCCGACCGGGACGGCGTGAGCGACAGCGGCGCGGGGACGTAGCGCGGCTGCAGCGACCACACTGCACAAGGAGAAGAACACCGTCCGTAAACAACCCTCCGTTGCCATCAACAGGCACTCGTGCCATGACTTACAGCTGTCCGACTTGAGTTGGGGCGGGGCGAGCGAGTTGGAGATGGTGGCCAGCGGCATGGGCGGCGGCGGGCCGCGCGACGGCGACGGCGACACGGCGGGCAGGCAGGTCCTCTGGCCGGCCAGCGGCGTCCTGGAGGTGCCCGTCGACAGGCCGGGGCCGAAGTCCAGCGCCAAGTCCGCCCCGGGGCCGGGGCCCAGCAGCAGCACGCGCAGCGCGGCGCGGAAGTCCTGCGGATCACAAAGGAGGGCTCAGTCTGGTCCGCCTGCGCCGGGCTGTGCCGGGCTGTGCCCGTGCAGCAAGCGGAACCTCACCTTGAGGTGGTACGCGTACAGCAGGGGGTTGCCGGCCGAGTTGAGGTGGCTGAGGATGATGCAGAAGTCCAGCACGGCGGGCGGCACGTAGCACTGCGGGCAGAAGGCCTGCACGCAGTTGATGGTGTAGAGCGGGAACCAGCAGAGCACGAAGAAGAGCACGATGATGGACAGGTTCTGGGTGGCCTTAACCTCGCGCTTGCGGGCGGCCCCCAGCACCCGCAGCATGGTGCCACCGCCCGCGCCGCCGCCCGCGCCACCGCCCACACCGCACACCGCGCCCCCGCGGATGCCCACGCCGGGGCTCTGCCGCTCCATGCGCCGCAGCTTGAAAGAAAAGAAGAGAGCAGCAAGTAGAGCAAGTCAGCAGGGGACGGAGCGGCTACCGGTTTCACTCGCTGCTCACCTGTTTTAGCACCACCTGGTAGATGTGGGCGTAGAAGGCGGCCAGGATGAGTGCGGGGAAGATGATGGTGAAGAAGTAGAGGAAGACGAGGTAGTTGTAGTCCATGACGCGAGTGAAGTAGCACTCCTCGCGCTCGGCGCCCGGCCTGTGCCAGCCCAGCAAGGGCAGGAACCCGACCAGCGTCCCCGCGACCCAGCACACGCAGATGATGCCTGTCACGAACAAGCAACAGAGGAGTCATGTATATGCAGCATTGAACGAAAAAGAGTCGAGGAACTTGGTGACTAATTTGGTGGCGAGCTCCGCCTGTGTACCACGCGCTCTCCTACTGACGTTAGCTTCGCAGCCACTCTGGCACGCAGCCACTCAAAATTCACGCGGCCGCCTCCCCCTCCCCTCCGTTGCCACTTAACGCTCTCCGTGACCGCCGCCAAGGGACCAAATAACCTATGGAATTGGCAATACGGTTAGACCGGCAGCGCCGAGGCAGCGCGCTGTGCGGGGCGGGGCGCGAGAAAACGGCCCTTTAAGGGCTGACCGCGCTGTCCGATAGTGACGCTGCCCAGGGACGCCACGCCCCGCCACGCCCCGCCACGCCCCGCCACGCCCGCCACGCCCCGCCACGCCCCGCCACGCCCCGCCCCGCCCCGCCACGCCCCGCCACGCCACGCCACGCCCCGCCACGCCCCACCACGCCCCGCCCCACCCCTGTCTTTACGGTCCACAAACGGGCCGCGCCAGATGGGCTTAGCGACAATTTTCACTTTGCGCCCCGCGGAGGCCAAATAAATCCCGAGCCGGCAGCAGGCTGCAGCAGGCGGCGTTCGGCCGGGGTGGCGGCACAGCGGTTCGGAGGAAGGCGGGCAGGGTGCGAGGCTGACCAGGTAGCCCGTCACATCACAGGCGGAGCAGACAAGTGTTGGGGACTGGCCGGTGGCCGTGGAGCTTGGCAGTGTAGGCGGGGGGTAGATAATAGGGGAGTAGCGGTGTGCCGGTGGCACTGTAGGGGAAGGACAGCACGTGACGCTAGAGAGCCTCTAGCTGGCGGCCGGTCGAGCGACCAACCCCTCCCCTCTTTTTTCCCTGCCGGTGCACCAGCACCCCGCCCCGGCGCCAAGCCTTCTGACTCCCGGGTGGCCATATATCCTAACGGCGGCGACCTCGGTCGGACGCGGCGGGCGACCGGTCGCAATGAGGTGCGGCATGGTGTGGCCGGCGAGCGAGGCCGGAACAGGCAGCACGTGTGGCCCAGGCCTCGGCCCAGGCGGCACCAGGCCCATTTTGAGCGCATCCTCGCTCTGTCTCTGGAGGGCCCGAAGAACACCGGTCAAGGAGCCAAAGTGACGCCGAAAGCGAGCGGTTTCTATCCAAATACGGCTCCTTTTGACATCAAAATGACATCATTCGACGCCATGGCGGGGGGATATTGACTACCCTGTTCTTGCTGCGCCTGGCTGCCGTTGGCACATGGCGGCCCGAGGGCCGGGGCTGCGATGCAGCGATATGTCAGTGCCGGCCGAACGGGTGGAAGGCTGGAGGCTGAAAATGTGTGCCCGGGCCGCGGGCCGGACGGGCGAGCGCGCCGATGCGAGAGGCCTTGGACCGCGGAAACTGCGGCCGACAGCGCGTCTCGTCCAGTGCGGCAGCCATGCGGCAGCCAATGGGGAGGAAACCCGATGGGCCAGAAGAGCCAGAAGGGATACTTTCCACTTTCCGGCGCCATCCACGGGAAATGAACAAATAATGAGATACGGGTCACTATTTCGGCCAGCGCGTTTCTTGGTCTTCGTTCAAACTTTCTTTTGTTATTTTTCCACATTGGAGGGCAGCTTTGTTTTAGGGCTTATCCGGTGTCTGCAGTAAATCAGCTTCCGTCGCCCTACTCTGTTTATTTTTTGTTGTTGTTATTTTTTTCGCGCGGCTTCGCGCGTCGGCTTTCCTAATTAAACCATGCTGTGCCACACGAGTACCGACAGTGAAACTGCGTAAATCTCCAGCCTAGCAGTCGGCAGCGAAAATGTAAAGAAAAGCAGGGCTTGGCCGGTTTGAACCACAACAGCCGAGAGCGGAGATGGGGAAAAGCGAAGGAGACGCCCAAAAAGGGAATCATTACTAAATGCCCTTTCGCTTGTCATTTTCACCTCGCCGGATTGCCCTTTCGCGTTTCGTGTGACGGTAATGGTTAGTAGTTTGTGCGGGGATCTCATCGCAAGGAGCCACCAGTCTGGTCTACGTCTGCGACCACGCCCAAGCGGCTAGGCCGGAGGGGGAAAGAGGGGGGAGGGGGGGGGTATCGGGGGAGGGGCGCTGACCCGTTCAGTCCCTTTGGCACCTGCAATGAGTCACACACACACCACACACACACACACTCACTCACACTCACCTACACACACACACACACACACACACACACACACACACACACACACACACACACACGATGTCCCACCTGCGTTTCTCCCTGGGGACTGCTGCCATTTTTATCCAGCAGCACCACGCCATGCACACTATGCCGCACCCCTGGCCGTACCGGTGGCCACGGAGGCCGTGGCCACCGCGCCACTCCGCGTCGCCTCCAAGAACACCGTCTGGCCCTACCCACACACTCCCTCCCGGGCACGCCAAAGGCACTCCAAAGGTGCGCCTTGACCTCTCCGTCGCATGCAGTTGCGTCTGACCGCGCCCTTCGCCCTGCAGGCCGAGTGGGAGGTCTGTCTCGCTCGCACTCAAGGGGCGTGCCTTGTAGGGGCGCGAGAGAGACAGAGAGACGAGACGCCTCCTCCCCCCCCCCTCCCCGGCTAGCCGCAGCCCTTTCCGCCTCGCGTCCCTTCCGCACCTTGGGCTTCGGGCCTTGGGCTTCGGGCCTTGGGCTCGTCAAGGGCGCGGAGTCCCGAGTGGCTCTGCCGGCAGACCGATTCCGAGAGTCTGTCTCTCTCGCACTCACGGGGCGTGCCGGATATGTGCGAGAGAGACAGAGCGACGGGAGCGACTGTCGGAATCAGTCCGGGCCGGGAGGCTCGCGCGCTCGCGCGCTCGCGCCGCCATCGTCATTCATAAATTATTGAAATGGCGGTGATTTCGTGTCAACACTGTACTGCCGGCACGGCCGGCGACACGGAATGGAGGGGCACATTCAACCCAGCCACCAATTTCAAGGCCGGCCTGCTCTGTCTCTCTCGCACCCCTACGGGAAGCCCCGTGAGAGCGAGAGAGACAGAGCGACGTGGAGCCTGCCGGGGCGTGCCGCCGGTCTACTCCCCTCGGGGGCCTGCCCTAGGGCTGCCCTTGGGCTGCCCTCGGCAGACTCATTCCGAGAGTCGTTTTCGTCGCTCTGTCTCTCTCGCTCTTGTCCGGCACGCCGCATGAGTACGAGACAGACAGCGCGACGAGAACGAAGAGTCTGCAGCCCTGGCCGTGGCGGGCCGGGGCGGGGAGCGCCCGCGAAGGGCCGGGTAGGCCGTGCCGTCGAGCGCGTGCGTTCGGCGGGGTGCCTACACTGGCGGCTCGCAGGCTGACGCGCGCTGCAGGCTCGCTGGGCATCCCGGCCGGCCGTCAGGGAGGTGGGTGCCGGTGACGTGTCGACGTTTCCAGGTCACGACGCCGCTACAGTGTCGCGGTGTCACGGCGTCACGCTGTCGGCACGCATGGTTCAATACGGACCTAATTAGCCATATTGCCCGTCCATCTCGCCGCTCGACGTGCCTCGTCGCAGACCGGCACGCCCCAAAATTAGCTTCAATTCTGCGAAATAATTCTAGACGCGTTTTGAGCTCCAGAGTCGCTAAACAGGACTAGAACCGAACGTGTGACCCCACCAATGGATTCCTCGGTCGGAGAGCAACCCAATAGTGGGGTCACACGTTCGGTTCGAGTCCCTTTTAGCGACTCTGGAGCTCAAATCCGTCCGGGGTTTAGACCGCATCCGCCGGTTTTCTGGCCCACTGTGCGACGGGCGGCGTTATAGTCCGTCGGCGGTAAAGTCCGAGACGGGCCGCAAGGAGATTGCTTTATGATCCGCTGTTGGGGCGGTCGAGGCTGCGGCGCCGCGGCGCGCAAACACTGCAAGCTGATTGGCCGTTAGTGCGAGCGGGATGGGCGATCGTAACGCAATGACTGTCGCGCGAGAAGGAGAGAGAAAAAAGATTGGCTGCCGATAAGGTGGGCCGAAGATGAACGCCCAGCTCGACTTTCATTTCATCCCTCCGCCGCTCGCCCCGGGAAGCAGCGGGCCAGGTTTCACCCTTCGTCGCTCTGTCTCTCTCGCACCCCTACGGGACGCCCGACGAGTGCAAGAGAGACAGAGCGACGAAAACGACTCTCGAAATTAGTATGCTGGTTTCCCTTCGCACCCGGCCGAAGGACCCACCAATGAGAGGGAGGGAGAAAGAAAAGGAAAACCCCAGCGCACAATTTCAAAACATTGATTATGTCGCTGCGAATGAAAGCTAGGCCTAATTTTGGAACGGTTCTGACGAATCGATACGATCGTTTCGATTAGTCGAAGTTGTCTCGAAACTGAATCCGTCGAGTGCTCGGATCGTCCATGTGCGACGGCATGCCACGGCACTGCAAAAGGAGCTCGCCTGCTGATTCATGCCTCCCAGTGGAGCGGACGCTCGTCTCGCGCCTCGGGGAGCGTCATTGCCCTCGGTACAGACACAAAAAGATCTGAAACAAAAACGCTCGAAACCGGCCTATTTCCAGTCCCAGACAGTCCAGCAGCGCGGCGGCGCGGCGGCTCGGTCAAATCCCAATGACCGCGTCCCTGGAACCGGTTTCTGGGTCGGCGGAATCCTGTCTTGTGTTGTTGACCCGGCGACGGATTCCGCCAATTTTGCCTCAAATCGCCTTTATCAACAATGCTGCTTTTCTCGCATTGTTTTTTTTGTCGCTGATAAAACATTTAAGCTTTGCTGACGCCAAGTTCAATTAGTTAAAATGAACAGGTCGACAGTCGGAGGAAAAGGGGAAGGAAAACGAAACAAGCGGAGCGAGCGACAGAGCGACGGCCTTCATCTTCATTTCGCTGCCACGTCGCCGCTGGCCGCGCTGGCCTGCCCTGCGCTAGCGCTAGCCGCTAGCGATCTCCAGTGCCATTATTGCCAAAGTTGCGTCCACCCCGCCCAGGCCCCGCCCGTGTCCGCCTTCTTTGCGGGGAGGGGAGGGGGCGGGGGTAGGGGTTCGGAAGTCGGGCCGGGCACCCACAACGTGG